CTGCACCCAAGGGTGCACAGAGAACTGGGAGAGCACTGCTGCCCAGCCACACAGAGCTGCTCACTCCCTCTGCAGCTGCCAGCTCAGAGCCAGCTCCATGGGTTTCCATCCCCTGTCATGAGCAGAGGAGGAAAACTCTCTTTGAAAGGACCAGATTCCCTCAACCTGCCAGGCTCAGGGCAGCTGGAGACCAGGACTCAGCCTTTGCCCTGAAGGATGGCTGACCCCAACCTCAGATCTGTCCTGCACCTCCTCAAAGGTGTCCTCCTCCCCACCCTGCTCACCACCTGCCAGCTGGCAGTGCCCTCTTGCCCCTCCTTTTACCATTTCTTTTCTCAGAACAGCTGGCTCTTCCCAGCATCTGGGTGTCCCCACCCTTTCCTCCCTTTCATCCAGCTCTGACATGCCTGCTGAAGAGCCAGCCCAGAGGAGCATGCTGCCAACCTCAGCCCACGCCAGGGCCATGTTCCCTGGCAGCAGCGAGTCCTGGGCCCCTGAGCCCGTAAGACACAAGGCTTCAAGCCAAAATGAGTCAAATCTCCCCCTGGCCCAGATTTTGGGAGAGGTCTGTCAGCATGACATCCTATGGGTGAATCCAAACTGTGCTTTACAAACATCAGAGGCTGCAGAGGCTGGGACAGTTTTTGGACACAGTGGAGCCTGAGCCCTGTCACTGAGTCACCTGCAGGAGAAATCACCACTGCCCTCATTTATTCAGGCTAATTCCATCTTTTAACAGTTTTGCTAACAAAATAGGAGAAATGCTTATTGCCCCATGGGCACGGTGCTGCTCTTCTTCGTCTGAGAACACGCCTTGCTGACTGAACACTATGTTTCCAGGGGATTTTCCCCTAGGCATTGGGATAATTTATTTTTCATGTTTATGGCTAATTTCTGCTTGAGTAAGCCTGTGACTTCTGACAACAGTTTCACTGTAACTAATCACAAGTGAACATAACCAAAGCAACAAGAGCTAATGAGGTTCCACAGAACCCTGATGGGCTCCAGCAGCCACAGCACCACCCCTATGCCTACAGGCTCCTACAGGCAGGGTGAGACATCCCCTGTTTCACAGCATCCCTGGTATGGGAGAGGATGAGGCAAGGACAAACGGCTTAGGAGCCCAGAGTCAGCAAAAAAGGGGGTCAGGAGGGAGGACTGGCAGTGCTGGGGATCTGTACTCTAACAGCCTGAGCTGCCCAGCAATGCTCACTCTTGATCAGACACCACGAGGATCACGGAGCAGAGGCAAGCAGAGGGCACACGGGTATGTGCCTGTTTGCTCCTGCTTTCCCTCCCTGCTCCCTCGGGGCAGCTGAGCCTGCTGGGGTGGGACATGTGACAGCAAACACCTCCAGTGCACAGGGCACAAGGACACAAAGGACAAGGTCAGATGGAGACAGGGTGACAAAACCACTGGCAATTTCTTGGAAGGAACAGCTTCTCCAGCGTGCCTTTGTGCTCCCCCGTGCTTGCTTCCCTTATCTGCACCATGCAGATCCCCTCCTGCAGGCTGCTAACCACATTAGCTCAGCCAAAGATCACGGAGCAGAGGCAAGCAGAGGGCACGCGGGTATGTGAGCCCCGCTCTGTGGGGTAAACTCATTTACACCTGCCTGTAGCAGCCATTTAACAGATTATTTGGGAATCTCTGCTTCACAGGATTATCCCACGAGTTAACATGTTCATCTCACTCCATTCTCTCCATTGATGCACCATGGCATCCAACACATCCACTTTTCTTGTCACCAAAATGTGCAATACAACTCACAACGCATCACTCTGCAATAGCCGTGGAAAACTGCCCTGTAGTTACCACTAAAGGCAAAAGGAAAAAACCTCTCAAGGTTCAAACATCCCAGGATTTGGGATGCTCTCCATGACAGCAGGTGCATCCTCACCCACGGGTCTGTCTCTGAGATCTGAAGTCTCTATGTGAGCACCTCCATCCATGGACAAAGAAAGCTGAGTTTTCTCCCCAGGCACCACTGACACAAAAAGGGAAAAGCAGAGCCTGGTTTTCATGGACAGATGGATGGATGGACATCCTTTCTAAGCACCAATGACCTGGGGCAGAAACTCAGGGGCTTCTTTATTTTCAGGTTAATTTCTCATTTGAAAAAAAAAAATAAAAAAGAGAAAAAGAAAAAAGAAACAACAAAAACAAAACAAACCACAAACAAACAAACAAAAAAAAAAAAAACAAAAAAAAAACCCAAAAAAAAAAAAAACAAAAAAAAAACCCAAAAAAAAAAAAAACAAAAAAAAAACCCAAAAAAAAAAAAAACAAAAAAAAAACCCAAAAAAAAAAAAAACAAAAAAAAAACCCAAAAAAAAAAAAAACAAAAAAAAAACCCAAATCAAAACCAACCAAACAAAACCATGATCACCACCACTACAAAACAATCCATGAAAAAAAAAGGCTCTTTAATGTCATGCCCATTATCTAGTGAGTAATGGGTTGAATTCTCAGGCTATTTGGTAGGTTTTGGATTCTGAAGGTGGGAAATACACAATGACCACACACTCTTGTCTAAAGGGAGATCAAAACCTCCCCAGCTGACAAAAGTATGGTGCAAATTCCACAGACTGCAAGGCTGATCTTGGAGGAAATGAAAATCACTTTCACCATATTCCAAATCATAACCAAACACTGTATGCTGAAATTGACATATTCCAAATGTTACATAACATTCCTTTTAGGCATGGGGTCTTAAAAGTGCTGTGAAAAAAATGTCATGTCTGGAAATTTCAAATTAATTTCAAATTTAGTCCGCCAACCTTTTCAATGAGCAAGATAGAATATACTTGATTCCTATTTAAGCCAGGTGTCATCAAGTCTAATATTTTGCTTAAAGTCATGTCAGAAATAAGAGTATTCAGCAAAACCTTTGGTTCTCTTGCTTATCTGACCTACCTAGCTCATCCACAGCTTTACAGCAATTGGGTCATGTGAGAGCACAGGCTTGGGAGATTTCCTGGCTCATATATAACCAGATCAATAAACCACATGCCCAATTCACTGGACGCCAGTCTATTTTGAAACAAAGCAAGTCACAAGCCTTTCAGCAAACTCACACTTTGCCTACACGCAGCCAAGCAGACTTTTACATCAGCCAGATCTTAGAGATGGCTGCAAACAATTACCATTTTCTATTATTGTTGAAATATCTTCCCAGTGGGACAAACCTCTTATAGATATTACTGGCAAATAAAAGTATAATTCTCTTTATGGTTAACATTACATGAATAAAAGTATCTGTTGCTAGAACTTCTGTATTGAACCTCTTATTTCTAGAAGTAATTTTTACCAGACAGTTCCGTTTCCAAGCAGCAGGGCAGCTGGTTGACTCCATCTTCCCTCACGTTGTGGGTCTCTTCCAAAAGGGCCTTCCCTGGATTTCTCAGCTCTTTACTACACTTATCTCATGCACAGCACCATGAAATACAGTAGTAGCAGGGGAATTTGGAGCTCTGAGGCTTTGAGGTTGCCCATGAAAACAGTGGCAACCAGCTGAGCTCCCATCTTCCCGGCGTTCTCCAGAGGCAGGGAGGGAGGCATGCAGAAACTTGAGATTTTGATGTGGGAGGTGACCTACCAAAGGGAGCAACCCATGGAGCCTAGTGAAAGGAACCCATCCGTCCCACAGTCCGTGTGGAAGACAGGCTGGGAAAAGGGAAGAGAGGCTGGCAGTGAGATGAGGTTTCCACAGCCACGCTGGGAGAGCCAGTGAAGGCCTCGCCTCAGGGCCGCTCCCTCCCGCAGGTTAAACCTGCACCGCCTCAGAGCCTCCCTGCAAAAAATCCCCTCAGCACTGCTGCTCATCGGACTTCTACAGCCTCCATCAGCAAACTCCGTGATTCCTTTCCACACAGACCTGTGGCCCATCTCGGGTTTCCAGGCTCCAAGAACACTAAACTAAGGGAAACTAAGTCCAGGCAAACCAAACTCGGGAACCTGCCGTTGCCTGGAGGAGTAAATGCGTTCGTGCCACAGCTGGGAGCGCCGTTCTGGGATCACCGCTCCCTGTGGGAGGCAGATGTCCTCAGGGAAAAGCCCCACAGGGAACCGGGAAGGGAGGGCGAGGAGGATGGCGGGGTCACCGCGACCCGGGGCCCCGTGTCCCTCAGCCGGGTGCCGCCTGCCCCGAGCGAAGGCTGAGGGCCTGGGGCCACCTTGTGGCTAATGGCGCGGATTGCGCTAATTCCCTTTAATTTGCTTTAATTCGCGTCTTCCTCTGCCCGCGGCAGCAGCAGCCTTGGCCGCAGCGTGGGGCCCAGCAGCGTCCTTGTGTGCTTCAGGAAGCTGAGCGCCTCCGGCTGCTGGCTCAGCTCTGTCCAGGCTCCAGCTTCCTCAGGGTTTCCTGGGAGCCATCCAGCTTCCCAGGGTTACGTGTCCTCTGGCTGCCCTCCTCGGATGCTGGGGCTACAGCACTTAAAACACAAGCTCTTTGAGTTTTATTTCTTTTAGCCAAACAGCCTGGAAACTAGGGGCCCTGTTTGTTGACATAACACACAGATTCTGTTTCCACCACTCAGCCCTTCTTCCATTCACAGGAAAACCAAAATTACTGGCTCCAGAGCACCTGGAAGGTAGTTCAGCACTGAAAAAGACACAGATCTGCAGAGGCGAGGGAGAGCTTCCCATGATCCCTCACTTGCAAGAAGAAGACACAGATCCACAAGCTGCTCTCAGACCCCAGGAACAGCCTGACTCATCAGACAGATGACACTTCTGAGATCTGGCAGTGGCTCCAGCAGAAGGTGGCATTGCACTTTTCACCAGGGTACCCCAGCCCTACCACTCAGAGTAGCCTCTGAACCCCTGCTCCCTGTTTTCCTTCTTACCCTAACCAAGCTTCCTCTCCTCTGGCCACCTTCCCATATCTGTACCAGAGTGCAACAGAGATGCAGACCTGGCTGCCCAGCACACACATCTCACCTAACATGCTGTTGGCAAGCAATGCCAGTGGGACAAAATAGAGACAGAGCAGACCTAGTCAGGAAAAACATAGATTTAATGGAATGAATGGAGAAGCTCCCAAAGTCCACACTGGAGCCACAGCTCTGACTCTGACACTTTACTCCAGGGCCAGTCCTTCCTTTCTACCCACCAGAAGCCTGGGGATGCTCAGGAACACTGGTGCTTGATGTGCCCCTTCAGAGCCCTCTCCAGGGAGAGAATTAAGGTGCATTGCTAACTCCACACAGACCGTCTCCGTGGCAGCCTCTTCATCAGCCCTTCAAATCTTCCAGAGAAGGAACCTCAGCCCAGAAATCCCTCTCTTCTTGGTGAGTGAAGAATCCTTGCGTTATCCAACAGGTGGCAAAGGCTGTATAGAAACCATCCTGGGGGAGGGAGGGAGAGCCACACTGGTCCTAGCAATGAGATTCGAGCTCTGTCAGCACCAGGAGGCCAGCTCTGGTAGAGGGAAGGGGCTGCTCTGTGCCTGGCCTGGAAGGCAAATCCTCAAGTGGGCAGGTGAGTTGGCGGAACCTCTGGAAGGCAAAGACAGGCACTAAACACAGCTGCAAGGACAAAAAGTGACCTGGGCCCTCCCCTACCCATCATGGGTTTCATTCAGCCAGCCAGGCCCAGCTGCAGATCTGCTCGCTAAATGCTGGAAATGTCCAAAATAAGGACAGTCAGTACTTCAGAAACCGAGGGGATAAACTCATCTTCCAACCACTTGTCCCAAGGCAAGCACTGAGCACATGAGGTATCCAACACAGGGATAATGGAGGAAAGCTCTGTCCTCCATTTGCTCCAGGCCAGGGCTAGAAAACACTCTGAAAGAAGGTTGGTGACCAAGCACCTCCAGGTCATGCCCTCCACCAGCACAGAGCCTGTGCACACAGGACTGGCTTTAACTGGGACAAGTTCATAAGGGGTTACTGTCATACCACAGCATGCTGTGCAGCCTTGCCTTGCCCCTGCAGCTGTTCCCACTCTTCCCTGTGTGTGCTGGACACAGGGGTCAGGGGCCCATTGCTGTCACAACCCATTCTTGAACACTTGCAGGAGGCAGGAAATGAGAGGGATCCTGGGGGTTCAGGACTGTTTGTGAAACCTCACCCTGAAATTATGAGCTGTGGCAGGGAGAGGATGCTCATCTGGAGCAATGCCTGGTTTTCTAGCTCCCTGCCTCTCCAGTGTATTACAGGGCAACCAGGACTGCATCACCCTGGAAGCAGGACAGACCCAGAGCACCAAGACTGATGGGAACTCCAAATTCCCAGTGATTCCCTCCATTCCAACTCTATGGTCTTAGCACAGACTGGTGAACTCAGCTGACCATAATGCTCAGGGGATCTGGAGCTTTCTCAGAGCAAGTCCTCAAGCCTCATTTAGGGGCAGCATGGAGATCATCTTTATCTTCTCCATATAATGACCTTTTTCCTGCTGGTACTTGCAAAGAGACAGAAGAAATGAAAAAAGAGTACCAAGAGGCAGCAGTTCAGCTTGAAGCAGCCCTCCAGCATAGCAGAACTTTAAAAAACAGATATGTTATAGCAATTAACTCATTTAATTTATTTATTCTGGGCTCCTTCCTAATCAACCTGCAACACATAAATGATTCTGCTGCAGAGCTGGAGTTCAACTCAGAAGCACAGCCCATGCCCTGATTCCAGAGCACCAACCTCACCTCTCTGAGTGAGCCTTTGATGGTGGAGAGTTTGTAGATGATCCAGAGAGGGATGCAGACCATGGAGGAGAGGGCCAGCAGCCATCCCAGAGTGTCTCCCCACCAGGGGTACACATACTTCTTGTTGTAAGTCAACGGTGTGTATTTGACCAAAGAAAAGAGGAAGGTTGCCTGGCAAAGTGAAAGAGACCAAGAAAAGAAAGAGAAAGAAAATAAACACCATGAGCAAAGAGAGGTCTTTCTGGTAAGCACACATCTGCAGAGAAACACATAGTGAAAAGGAGAACCTCAGGGCAGCAACAGAGGAGACATCCCTTTAACAGGGTTTGCTGGGACAGCCCCCATGGGCAACACTGGTCATAACATCAAGGATCTTGTCCCACCAGCAAACACCTCTGTCACTGAGCTGAGCCTCTCCCTGTTGTTGAGCCCCACATCTGGCCCCCAAAGCTACAAGCACAAATAACAAAAGGCCCCCAGAGTCCAGGCCACATAACCCCCTATATATATGCACATCCCTGTGTATATATGTAGGTGTCTGTATCTCAGGGGCACCCAGCCCTGCCCATCTTCCTCCCCACAGCCCCTCCTCCTGTGTCCTCACCATGCAAACAGCAGGGGTGATGAAAAGCCAGCAGTATTTGATGATGGGCCACGGCCGGTAGCCGATCATATCTTCAATGTTATCGTAGAAACGCTCAGCACCTGCAGAGGACAGCAAGGATGGGATCCCTCACTGCCACCAGGGAAGGAGGGCAACAGGGTCTGCGTGTCCAGGGTCCTGCTTCACCACTGTTTAGGTGCAATAGCCTCAGTGCAGCAAACAGTCAGGCCAGGGAGCTCTTCAGGAGTGTGGCCAGCTTTGGTCTTGGTCCTGGACTAACTTTCTGTCCTCCCAGAACTGTTCAATAGGTCAGCAGGGCCAGCCCCTCAGCATCTCCAAGGCTAGGATCTCAGCCCAGGTTTTATCCATATCTGGTAACTGTCAAGACTGTGAGAGAGCTCTCAAAATATTTGAGTCTCAAGCCCTCTGAACACAGGTTGAGAAAAGATTTTTCAGACAGCTCCAATTCCCCAAGGAAGGAGCGTCTCAAAAGCAGGAGTGTATAGGAACATGCAAGGGATATCTGCCAAGCAGATCCCCCAGGATGTCCTCCCACAGTGAGGAAGTCCCTGCCAGTTGAGTCCAGGGGCACCAAAGCAAAGGTTTAGATTCTACCTTTCATTACAAAGCAATTGCCAAGTTAAGCTACCAACCAAAATTTTGAGAATGAACCAGACAAGACTGTGAGAGGCCAGAGCTGTGGACCCCCCCCAGTTCATACTCACCATAGACCCAGGCGATGCAGAGAGTCTCAAAGATGGCCACAAAGAGCAGGCACATGCCACTGGCAGCATAGTAATCAAAGAGCTGGAAGACATACATCCCACCCTGGGAAGGCCCAGGTGGGCAGCAAGGTGAGAGACAGGGAAGAGGAATCAGGCAAAGAGCTAGAGCCAGAGCTGAAAACAAACTCAATATCTCCCCCAGAGCTGGAGGCATCTCTCTCTCTGGGAAAGAGAGTTTTAGCCTACAGAAAAGGCACATCCCTTGTGCCCAAGGCCTGACAGAGACACGCAGCCACCCTGCTGCTCTCAGGAGTCTCTGCAACCCTTCATTTCAATGCAGGGCAGCACAGCAGATGGCAACTGACTGCCAGAGATTGTGGGGATGTTTTATGAGAAGACAAAACCTAGGCAATTCTTGTAGCTGGAAGTGAGGATGGAAACTCCCCCTTTAAGATATGCAATCCATCTGATTGACTTTAAAGTCCCAATTTGGAGAAGGAAATAACAACATGCAGCCTGGTTGTTTCACTGTCCAGGTCTGCAGGACTGCCTATAAAATAAGCCTGTGGGTAAATCCAGGCACAATGTTGCATGTACAACATCAGAGACAGCTTCTCCAAAAGTTATGCCCAAATGAAAACAGAAAGTGCCAAGAGCATTCTGGCAGCATCAATCCACACATGCATATTGCTAGGCAGGGTTCAAAGTTTTAAACAAGAACAGTTTAGCTCCCAGGCAATCACAAGGGTAATACAGAGGATATCTGTATAATAGATAAGGGGTGCTCTGAGGCCTGACAAGTTTCCTCATAGCAAGTGTTCCTGTAGCTCCATTCAGAAAGAAGGAGAAGGACAAGGGCACTCCCCTTCCCATGCAACAGGCTACAGCTGCAAAGGTTTGGTCTGTGTCAAGATAAATTTACAACCAAAACATAGGCTGTCCAGAGCTCCAGCTATCAGTCTGGGCAGGAGAAGTATCAGGCCTGTGACTGGCACAAGGAGTAAGGGCTGGAAGGGAAAACACGAACGGCATGAGAAGGGCAGGGCAGCCTCCTGCAGGCACAGGGCAGCAGGATGGGGCTCAGCAGCAAGCTGAGTGTAAGAGCTCACCACCCACCAGGTCCCACTCTGTCCTGTCAAGTACCATGCAGGTGGTCTGAGCCCAAAATACCTCTGTGAGCATCACCAAGCCAACCAGATATGAGAGGATGGAGACCACCAGGATGAGGGTCTCCCGGCGGTTCTTCTTGCGGAAGATGGTGGGGTACATGTCCACAAGAGCTGTCACAAGACTCTCCACGCAGACAAACTGCAAAAAGCAGAGATCCCACCTCTGTCAGCTCATCCTGACCAGCTTCCCAGCCCCACTGCCTCCCCCTCAGCCAAGCTGAAGCCTGTCCTGAAGAGACAGTGGCTTTTGTCTGGTGGGGAATCACTCTGCTCCTGCAGCTTTACCTGGCTGTCCAGTCCCAGCAAGACAACCATCAGGAAGAAGAAGCACGCCCAGAGTGGGGAGAAGGGCAGCATGACCACAGCCCGAGGGTAGGCGATGAATGCTAGGCCAGGCCCTGCAGGGAGAAGGGCTTTCAGAGCAATGGCACAGCAGTGGCAGCAGCACAGCACAGCTGGTTCAGACCTGCCCGAGGCAGCCTCCCAGCCAAGGCACAGCTTGTGGCCATGCAGCCTCTCACTCCAGTAATATCCGTGCTGTGCATGAAACTCAGGCTCCTGGAGCAGTGAAGGAGAAGCAGGAAGGGAGGTAAGGGGACACAGCAACCTCTGGCTGCTTCACTGCTGCAAGGGCTGGGAGCCAGGGGAAGCCTCTGAGCCCAGGGAGCACAGCACAAGCCTGGGGATATGCCATGCAGTCACCTCAGCACCCTCCCCACAAGAGACAGCAGCTGCCTAACCCCAGCCCTCACCCTTAGAGGCAGCTTTTATTAGGCTCAAACCTACTGCATCTCAGTACTTCATGAGTGTGCACTGATTTCTCCCTGTTTTTTGGAGGCTAGGGATGGGAATCTGCAGCTGCAGGCATCCCCTGGTGGCTGGGGGCTCAAGTGGCAGCACCCCCACAGCCCCATCCCACCAGGGTCTTCACTCACCTGACTCAGCCACGTTGGCGATGGGCACACCCTGCTCCTCTGCCATGAAGCCCAGGATGGAGAAGATGGCAAAGCCAGCCACAAAGCTGGTGCCACTGTTGAGGAAGCACAGGGCCAAGCAGTCCCTGGGAGAAACGGGCAAAGCATCAGCCAGCTGTGACCCACAACTCATGGCAGCCCCCCAGGACAGCACCTGCTTTTCTGCCCCAGCCACTGTCTCTCCCGACATATCTGCAGCTTGACTCAGCACCAGCAGCTGCAGAAAGATGCCCCAGGCTGGACAACACAGCAGAACTCCCCCAAGGGTAGCCTTGTCCCAGGAGAGCATAAAGATGCATTGCCCACCTAACCTCCTTGCTTGTGAGATGGTCTTCCCACACATCTAAATGCCAGGGGTTTTTTCTGGGTTTTTTCCCCCTTTGTCTCCCCTGGTCCCTCCTGTAGCAGCATGTAACAGTTTATTTTTGCTGAGAAGGGAACACTTTTTTTCCCTTAATAGATTTCTCAGACCAGTTACAATCTTCTGGGTTCTCAGCACTACTAGTTATCTCCTGGTCTTTGCATTATGAGAAAAAGATAATCACAGCCATCCAATTTATTTTCTCTGATCTATTCCCTTTTGTCTCTGTTTCATCTCACTCTCATCCATCAACACTTTAAACTGAACATCTCTTATCTATCCAATTCTTTTTTACGCTTGAGTCTCCCTAATCCTCTTGTGACTGCAACCCTGGGGACAACAATAACATTTGCAGCATCATTCTGAGATATTCTGAACCAAACTGAATGCACCCCTTCTGGCATTTCATGGCCTGCTCTGACTTTATTAAATGTTACTCTGCAAATCCAGTGTGATTTTTCTGTATCAGTCCTCAGTTGCATAGCATTTTTGGGACTTCATGCTCCTGCTTGCATGTTAACTAGGTCAGAGCCCCTGCATCATACTAATTCAAATCACTCCTTGCAAAGTACAGCTTCTTGCACTGTCAAGGACTGCACAGCACCCAGCACCACTGCTCTGCATTTGGTTTGTAAGGCTCAATGAATCTCCCAGCTGGAAAGGAAGGCCACACTCCATCAATCCCAGCTACACAATGGGAAGCCCAAGCCCAAACCTCATTTCTCTGGTTACTATAAAGTGCCTGCTCTCCACTCAAATTATATTCTCAGTAATTTGATACAAATTCTCACATGTTTCAAATAGTTCCTGGTCCTTCCTGGTGTTTCTCCCTCTTTCCCCTGGATGTATCCATGACAGGTCAAACCCTCCTTGGAAAGGCATGGGCTGAAAGGTGTTCTCCCATTATCTGGAAGGTGGGAAGGGGTGTCATAGTAGAGATTAAAATGAGGGGATGGCCAGATCAAAGAGATCTCTGCAGATTTACACCTGAAAGGGAACCAGGAAGACCTGAAAAATTCCCTTGCTGTGACAGGAAACAAGAAATGGTCAATACTGTTTGATGCCATCTTGGACCACTGCCATATGAACAATGCTTTCTACTGACCACATCCTTTTCCAGGATATATATATAAATAACAAAGTACCTGGCCTGGTATAACAAAGACATTGTGCTGATGTCTCTCTCCCTTGCTAAATCCTGGTTCTGTCTTCTTATCCAAACTAAGCCTGTAGAGCACAGGACTAAATCATTAAAACTGGGTCCATGCCTGGGAAAGGCTCATCGAAGTTTTGACACCAAAACTAAGACCAGTGTTCCTAGAAGAGCCAAACAGCACACAGGGTAAAAGCACAGCACCATGTGCAGACAGAGGTTTCTCCCCTTTCTACAGCAACTCCCAGCTGCAGTTACAGAAGGTCTTTACAACCCTTTTGCTGACCAGGCTCTGTCATCATCTCCATGTTACATATTAGACTGGGGATGCAAAGGGCGAATGTCCAAGGACATGTTGAAGGCCAGAAACAGATCCATTATCTCTACTTTTCCTACAGCTTTTTCTCTCAAAACTGAATGTGGGAGAAGGAACATGAAAAGAAACAAGCATCCTAGCCCTGTAACAGAAATTAACTCCTAAAGTGAAGAAAGAAGCCAAGCAAGGATCATGTAGCCAGTGGTGTCCCTGGACCTTTGATGGCAACGACTACAATTTTGAATTTAAAAGATGGGGGCAGAAGTCAGTGTCAGGAGCAACCCAATCAAGAGAGAAAATGTGGGAAGAGAGGTGGCTTCTTCTCACACAAGCCTTTTAACCCTGGCAATGGATATACCTACAGCAAAATGAGTTTATTTTCACTAGACCACTTCAACTCAGCAGCCTGATTCTATCTGGCAACCTGGTCCATTTCTGCTGCTGCAGTCCAGCATGCAATAAACAGAAGTCACATCTGCAGGTTCATATGAAACCATATGAGATAGCACACAAGAACCCAGAGCACTGACAGCTGTGCCAGTCACTGGGTCCAAATGAACCACTGAAGGGTAAATCACAATGGGAAAGGACTCCAGTTGAGAGCCACTAGATTTCACAGTTCTGCTTGTGCAGGTTCTGTAGTGTGGGCTGGGGTCACAAAGCTAGTGAAGAAGATCTAACTTTGCAGAGCGTGGAAGAGGGGACAGACAGGCAATTCCCTTGGGTATAAAGCACAGAGAACTGGATTTGGGGAGCAAACACCTGGAAATATTTTTCCTATGCCTTGAGTAGAAAGAAAAATCATGACACTTCCAAAGGCCAGCAGCCTCCAGCAGATCCTGCATGTTCAGGGAGGGGAAGGCTCGAGGCAGCAGTTACCTGTAGCAGTTGTTATGGTATTTGTTATAGCTGCCCAGAGCTGTCAGGCATCCCAGACAAATTGCATACGAAAAGAAGATTTGAGTGCCTGCATCCATCCAGACCTGCAAGGGAGATGCAAACACAGGTGAGAAGACAAGGCCAGCACAGACACTGCACAGACGGGAAGAGGCAGAGCCCCAAGGCTGCTGTAAGCACCAGAAGGGCCAGGGATCAGAAGGCCAGCAGGACTCTGCACTGAAACAAGCCTTTTCTAGAGGCAGGTTGTACAGTGCCAGGAATTAAAATGCTCAGGGAGGCACCCAGGGGGGCTGGGTGTGCCAAAGGGATACATCAGGAGCCTCATCCACCCAAATCACATATAGCTCTTCATCACCACCTCTTTCTTTGACAAATCTGCAGCACCCTGTGACACTCAAGAGCCTTCTAGCAAGAGGATACCAGATGAGCACTTTCCATGAGGGCTGAAGGAGCCCTCTGCCTCCAGAGGAAGGGTACTCGATTTGGGCAAGCCTAGTCTCCAACTGGCCAGCACAGGGACACACAGCTTGTGGTGGTGGCCCTTCCCTCCAAGACCTAGCTTAAATACTCCAAAATTGTAATGAAATTCAACTGGGGAAGAATACTAGAAATAAACACAGTTGATTGCAAAAGACAGCTCCTAAAAGAACATACAAAAGCACTGTTATTCCCATGAGGCCCTTTGGTCTCACTGTCAATAACACATCCCAGGGCTCTAAGGCTGACATTTGTCAATGCCAGATTTCATCTGAAAGCCTAGCTGTGTGCAGTCACCAATTCAGGCACTGTCCCTGCCTTCTGCAGACAACAGCAAAAGCAGGAACCAATGGTGGGGAATGAAGCAATGACAAAGATTATTAAATAAACCTCTGTTCTCTAAGATCTTTTTTTCCTAGGGGTTTTATAAAACAGAGATAAGACAATCGTTCAACAATGCTGAAGCGTAGCCACATTTTCAAGACTAAAGAAAAGCAGAAATAAAATATTGCTGGGACTTTATGAGAAAAGTCTCCGTTTGACTACACTCTCCTCTCCCAGAGTGGCAGTGCCAGTAAGCCCTCAAACAGCAGCCTTGCCCCAGAGCCCCTCTGAGAAGAACAAGAGCCAATGCAAAGCACCACAGTGCTTTCCAGAGGTTTTGATGCCTTCAAATCACACCTGATACACGTTCTGAGACAATGGTTGGTGGGCAGCACCTGCCTAACCACCCCCAATGCATGGTTCTGCCTTTCCTCTTTCATACTGGCCAAAGTACAATAATGTGGTGACAGCTTTTGTTTTATATTTACTTCTTCTCGTTCCTGGGCTGATGACCCTTATGAAGGCATGTTACAATCCCATTAACTGCCATTTTCCCAGAAGAAATTCTGGATTTAGCTCAAGGCACAGATGCACGGAATAAATCCTCTCCCTGCCCAATGCTGCAAACCCCAGCAAGGAAAGTAGGGTTAGGTTTGGTCAAACTGCTCTCCCTGACTCTTCTGCAAGCCACTTGCCTAACATTCAACCCCACAACTTTGACTTAAGTCCGTGGAAACCCTGGACTCTGGGTTTCAGATCAAACAGGGAGTGAGATCAAATCTCTGATTTGTAGAATGGGAAGGGACAGGTGATGAGATGGGACTGGAACAACTAATTCGAGACACTGGGAAGTCAAAAAAAGTAATTGACCTCAGTGTGTTTTACTCTTTTTGGAGATGAATGGGAAGATGGGTTTAGAGACAAGGTATTAATTTTTTTCAGTTCAAAGACATTAGAAAAAGATCAAAGCCCTTTTTAAAATTGATTCCTAAAGCATCAATGTGCTCTTGGGCAGTCCGGGCACAGCTTTCATTTTGCAGCCACATTTTAGGCACAGCAAGGCACTAAGGTGAGCTGGACCAGCAGACACCTTTGCATCAACAATTTAAATATCTTTGCACAGACTGGAATCAAGTGCTTTGTTAGGTTTGCTTTTTATTTTGCTGTTCATTGGTAGAGCTCTTGTTTTCCATCAAATCTGTGCTCAAAACACACCCTCTCATGGGGTTTGTAGCTCTGGTAGCTCAATTTGTCAAGATAACAAGACTTTTGCCATTAAACTGCCTACCCCACACCTGTCATAACATTAGACTCAGTTGATGCTTTTCAACCAGATTTAACAGTTGTCAGAAACCTCAAGGATATCAATTACCTATGAACTGCACAATAGTTAGGGAATGGGAAAAAGACAGGAACTCGGGGTCCCCACTGAGCAGAAAGCTACAGGGAAGAAGAGTCAACCAGTGTTAAATATCACATAAATCACACACGCAAAGGAGAAATACCCCTCAGGCAGGAAAAGAACTGGTGCTTTACCAGCCATGGTGGAAGCCAAACATCAAGAGGCCAAGCTTCATTAGCTCTGTGGTTTATGACATGGCTCATTTCTAAAATGCAGAGATAACCCTGACTTGTGTAGCAGAGACCAGAGACCAGCATGGGGTCTGTGGGCTCCTCACTTCCCTGCCTGCTCTGCCCAGTCTCACACCTGTGGGGTGCACACCTGGCTGTGTGGGAGGCCAGCCCCAAAGGGATATCTTTAGGGAATACAGGAGCTCCCTTAGCATATGCTCCTGTTTGAAGCAAGGCAGCCTGTCGCTGAAACCATAAATAAAGCTAAGCTTGACTTGCAGGGCTTATGATCCTACTTAGCATGACTGAGAACACCAGCTCAGGCCACCTGCACATTATTTCAGGCATTAAAAGCTTACTGCAGCTCTTGGGCCAAAGGCAAGAGACATCTACAACCTTCCCAGTTTCCTTGCAATTCCCGACTGCTTCCCCCACATTTCTTGGGGGGGGAAAAGGACTGTCACAGGACTGATGCCATGTGTGCTCCTGACCCACTGGTGATGGGGTCAAGCAGCAGCAGCAAGTCCCAGGACTGTGGGGTCACTGGGAGTGGAAAGGGTCCAGCCTCCTCCAGCAGCACCACTGCGCATCCAGCCCCACAGGGCTCATGGGGGCTACACAGACCGTTCACTTCAGCAACTCAAACATTTTCTCCCCAACCTGCTGCCTGTGCTCATTTCTCTCCCTGTAGTGACTCAGAGAAATGTTTTTTTCAGCTGTTCCCAAACCAGTCTGACTAAGAGGCCTCACAGGGTCAGGCAGGGCTCTCTTTCCACTGCAGATAAAAGCATCCTGCTGTTCTCTCTGGCCACTGCTCCCAAAGAGACTGGTAAAGTTTATCCTGTTCAGATTTTGCTGGCATATTGGCGGTATGGGTATTTTGATTTAATTATTACATTTTTCTAAGCCATCCATTTTATTTAATTCATAATTCAAATTCTTTGAACATGTTTTTTGGTCCAGTTTGCAATAGCCTCCTACTCTGTACATTTGAGCTGCAGTTATTCAAGATGGTTATGATCATTCCTCTGTCTCTTAATTTTCTCAGCAATATTCACTTTATTACATGTACCGGAATTTAATAGCTCCCAGGACTGAAACAGGTCCTTCCTTAGGAAGTTCTCAAAGCACTTACAAATAACAGCAAGACCACTTTCAAGCAAAACGTTATTGAACCCCAGTGGATGCCATACATCAAATATAGGTGGCATGCTGAGAAGCACTGAACTGTCCCCATCAGCAAGCAGAGACAGCACAGCACAGAGTGGGTTCATGCTGTGTGGAGGGTCACACTTGGTGTAATGCATAGCAGAGAGCAAAACCCAGCCAAGTCTTGGGCTACAGTTCAAGCAGCATTTCTTTTGCCCACAGCATCACAGCTCACAAGTCAGCCTGTGGTGCTGGCACTACCCACAGCCACCTACTGCACCACACAAACACACAAAGGGACATGGTGACTCCTAAGGTTTTACTGCAAGACTCCCAGGGCTCGATTTCCAGCACACTGACATTGCCCTTCACCCAGGACTGGCTCACAGTCCCCAACCCAAAGATGCAGCCCACATCCCACCGTGCTGCACCTGCACAGAGCTCAGGCCCTGCCCCACAGCCCAGGGCAAGGCTTGCCCCATCCCCATTCATCCCAGCAGAGAGGAGACAGGGAATAACGGGTCACTGGCATTTGTAAAGTGTTCCTGTTCCATTCGCCCAGCATCACGTTCCCAATCCCAGAGCCTCATCTGCTTGGAAAATTCTCCTCGGGAGTGAGGAGCAGGGGCTTTGTTCCCCAGTTAATCTCCCTCTGCCAGCACTCCAGGCCCGCACAGTGCCCTGCCTGAGAACACTGACCTCATGTCATCCCCACACCTCAGGACACCTGCAGGGACATTTTGCACCCAGGAGGGCCCTCCCACCAGCGGGGTTACTTTAAACAGCACAAGAAAACAAACAGGTTTGTGGTTCGTCCCGCGGACCGCAGCTGCCTGCCCCGGGGGCGCAAAGGGGCCAGCGGTGCTCCGGGGGACGCTCCTTGCTGCCTGGGAAGCCGGGCTTTATGGTCCTCCCCGCCCTGTTGCTCGCAGTCAGACAGACAGACAGCTTTATTCCTTCCTGCTATGTCAGCTCCGAGATCAGGCTCAGCAGGGCTGCACGGCCGGGTCCCGTGGCAGCAGGGCTGGCAACAGGCGTGGGACAAGGAGGCGGAGGAAACGCAGCCCCACGGGGACGCGTTGCTCCAGCAAGGCCGAGCAGAGGATTCCATCCCCGAGCCCCTCTGGCACGCTGTGGGAGCACCAAGCCCTCCCTGCCCGCTGCCCGGTGCCTGCCCTCAGTGCCCGGGCTCGCAGCCCCTCTGCCAGGCCTGGGGAGCGCGGCGGGGACAGGCCTGCCTGTCGGGGCCGTGTCCGCACAGGGCACAGCGGGAGCCGAAACAAACACCCGCCTGCCGAAGGGGAAAGCTGTGCAAACCCCTCACGCTGGGCCAGGACACCGGCCTGCTGGGACAACAATAAATACGGGGAACAAATAATATTTAGGAGGCCTGTGGTCGCCCTCTCCTCTCACAGGGAAGCGGCAGCGTTTGCTGGCCGTGGAGCAGCAGCAGGAAGGGCCTGAATTTGGGGCTCTGACCCCTTCCCAGCATGGCTTCAGGGGCCCATGGTTAACCCAGCGGGTCCTAGCCCTGCAAGATGCACGTATCTCTCATCCTCAGCTCAGCACTGACTGTGGGAGCTGCCCTGCTCCAAACCACGGCCTCAGCATTCCCCCTCTGCAGCCACACGCTCCCCACTGGGGGCATCTTCTCTTGCCTTCCCTCTCTGTCCTGCATGATGGGAAACAAGAGCCATGAGGGAAATCTGTAGGGCAAACACTCCAAAAACCAATCATCAGGGAAATTGGTGAAAGAAAATGAGAGGGATGTAGGGAAGGATATTCAGAGAGAAATGCTCAACTCTGCTGACTATTGGCACCTCCAGTGCTTCCCTGCCTCAGGACTGGGATACAGCCCCCAAACTGAGGGCCTTCAGCACATCTGGGATGGGTGGAAAGCAACTTATCACAGAAGCTTCTTGCTTTATATTAAGACTGGATAAAGTACAAGCAAATACAGCATGGTGGGTGTTTTCTGGAAATTTCAAGAGGAAAACAAGAGTGGGAGGCTTTGAGAAACATTTGCTGCTTTTTCAGAGAGACACAAACTCTGAGCACAACTTCTCCATTCTCACTCAGCATTAAGCCTAAGGAAATTTAGCTAAGACTTGACATCACAGTGAAAGGAGACTATTACATTTCTTCTCTTTAAAGCAAACCCAAACACACAAGACAGTCCTTTCTGCATCAGCCCTACCCATCCTCTCTTTACATCTGTCTGTCTAAACAATGACTGGCAGTGATATTAAAGCTTCAATCAACAGAAAGCCTGACAGCATCTGAAAAATTCTTTTAATGACAAGTTTCACACACTTAAATCTTAGTTCTACTGAATTCCTCTAATTTCGTCTTCTCACTGGTGGATCCTACTATGCATCCCTCTCCTTAATCACATCCATAAATTTCCAGCATTTCCTGCTGAATAAAACAGTTGATAAAACCAATAAATGCAAAGGGTGAAGTGATCAAAAGTACAAGTGGAGGATGACCTAAAGACCTTCTGTTGGTCCACACTGTGAAACACACAGGATGCATCTGGAGCACAGCAATGCAGTCAAGGAGTGAGAAAAGACTTTGGGCCTAGTTATGACTGACATGCTAACATCATAATATTAAATAACCTGTTTTGAACTGCATGTCCCCAAACCAAAAAATCTAAAAAACGAGCTCATAGCTCATTTTTAAAGTATGTAGATTATCTCTTTGGTGGTTTTGCTGTTATCTGTCATATTTGAGCATAACTGGCCTTCCTTATTCAACACCTCAGTTTGGCAGTTCTCTGTGTGGTCTGAGCTACCTATCAACTGCAATTCATTTACCATTTTAATTATAGGGATTTCACAGATTGAGGAAACGAAGATGCAGGAAGATTTAGGGCACTTCAGAGCCAGAAGAGACCATTACCAATCAGCTCGACTGAACTGTCATACACAGGATTTCCCAGTTCTTTCCAAGGTCACTTGTCAGGTGGAAAGCAATGATTTCCACACACCAGCCTGATATTCTGACATTTAATCACATCTCAGCTGTTGCTGCTCCCCTGGTAGAATCTGATAAATAATTCATACCCTCTTTTCACATAGTTTTTCATATACTTTAGAGGAGCTTGGATTTTGTCCCTTTGCATATTGTTTACCCTTTATTTAAACCTCCCCTTGAGATGCCTTCTCATAAGACTCAGATTGGAGATGTAATTTTTTTTTTAAATTTCCAAAATCCCTTCCCAAGCACTAAAGATTATTCCATTTTTCAAGGCAGTACAGAATTGCTGGTAAACAATTACAGCTCACTGTCCTTTGAGCACAAATTAATTATAATCAGCTTGGGCTGGCAGGACTCACACCAGTCCCTGCACAGACACAGCGGGGCACAGTCACACACATATGTGGGGCTTGGGTCACTAACTCTTCCCTCTCTGATGGGAAGACACAAGAGAAGACTCAAGCCTTGCTACATGGTTCAGTAGAATGGTTAAAACCCTCTAGAGAAGAAGGCAACCATCGCTGCCAAATCCTGCTTTTCTCTCTCAGAAGTAAAGCATTCATCAGGGAATGTGGAGTGGGAAATGAGGAGCAAGTTTTCCTCCCTTGGTTCAGCAGTTTTCCTCCTCTTGTTCAGAGCCATCCTCTTATTTTGAAGGGCTACTCTGCCTTTCTGCCAGCATTTTCTAGGCTGGAAGGAAGATCTGCTTCTAAAGCACAGGCTGCAATTGAAAAAGTTTGCCAGGACAGACCTAATGAGGACACAGCTAGAACCAGCCATGTCATGCCTGAGGAGGCTTAGTTCAGTCCCCTGGGCAACACAGCCATGGTAACAACAGGACTTGGCATGAGAGAAGGAGCACCACTCAAAAATATTATTTCATTTCAGAAGCCTCTTGCACCTCATCAGTGCAAACAGAGACACAGTCACAGCAAACACAGACCTGTTCTCACACCTTTCCATGCTTTTCTGGACCTCCATGCTGATGGAGCAGCTGCCCAACCCACCTCCTGCCATACATCAACCAGCTTGTTGCTCCCATTTGCAAAAGTAATAACTGAGGCAGCACTGGTGCTGGACCAGAAAGAGTTAATAGGGTTACTAAGGGTTTTGCTGGCCTATTTTCCAGGCAGGCACCCTTTAATCTCCTTTGGAAACACCTTCACACAAAGGCTGGTACAGTAGCTCAGCTGGAGCCAGGATTTAACATGGAAGAACTTGTCCCAAAAAGATTAAAAGCAGCAGTCGGGCGCTGACCCTCCTGTCAAAGAGGCAGGAATTTCTCACCAGGGATGGGAAGGAGAGAAAGGCAGCCAGGTCCCAGGGATTGCTGCTGCAGCATGCCATGGCTCCCATCATCCATGCACCTGGCATGCTTCCCAAGGAAGATGGAGCAAATGTGCCAGGAGAGCAGGGCTCATCCCCACAAGCTGCCAGGACAATGCAAAGTGGCACTCCATGCACTGTGTGGCTCCACAGCAGAGGAGCCTCCCCAGGAAACAGGAGGGATAGCTTGCACCACTCATGAGAAAGGATTAAATCCCTCTGCCCATTCCCCTGAGCAATTCAGACTCAACTCAGACAGGAAAATATGGGAACAGCACTGGAGGAAAAGAGAGCAGAGACTATGAGAAAAGACATCAGTATCACAGCTCTGCCTTACAGCCACAGAGGGGCAAAAGAGGGCTCAGAAAGTAGAAATTGGAAGAAAGAGAGTAGGAAAACCAAAAGGAGAGAGTGAGTGCTGCCAGAGGAATCCATGCAAGCACAGCTTATCTGTTCATTCCCCCCTTCTCCACCTTACCTGAGGGTCTCCAAGGCGACTGATGTCTGGATAAAGGTAAAAGAGGATTCCCTGGGATGCCCCGGGCAAGGAGACTCCTCTGATCAGCAGAACAATCAGCATGACGTATGGGAACGTGGCAGTGAAATATACCACCTGGGAGGAGCAGGAAGGGACAAGTGTGAGAGAGCAGCCTGGGCCAGGGCACACAGTGCCAGCCAGTGGCACAGCACTGAGCCCTGGGCTGGGAGAGGAGGGCAGGGAACAGGTCAGGCTGCTTTGCTGAGCACCTTGCTGTCTCCTGCAGCAGAAAGAAACGCATTTTAAAATGCACTCAGGAAACTTATGACATGCCATTGCATGCCTGAAGGCAGAGAAAATCTTTCTAGTCCTAGAGCAATCCAGACCCTGAGCCAGGCTGGAGTCAGAATGGGTCTTCTGAAGCCAGTGGTGTAATATCTGCATGCATCAGGGAAGGAGCTGCCCCCAGTATCCATCTCCACATCCCTACTCCAAACAGAGTCTGAGTGACACACAGTCTGTTCTCCATAGTGTTTAGTGTGCAGGTAATGCCTTGAAACATGATTGCCACTGAAGGACCACCAGGGGCAGTGCTGGGGGTCCCCAGCTCAGGGCTGGAACTGGCGAAGGGGTTGTGCCCAGCCCTTCCCACTGCAGTGACCCACAGCACTGCCTCTCAGTGACCTCTTCATGGGCATTTCGGGCAGAGCAGGGCTGCAAGTCTCAGAACTGCCACTAAGAATGCAGACCCAAACAGGACCTTGAACCCATGTCCTCTTGCTTTTTGTGTCACTAGCCCCATGAGCACTGCAGACACACTTAGGCAGGGTTAAAAACACTTTCCTCTAGCAAAGGAGCTACATCCCTTGGGGGAAAGCTGGAAACCAGTATCAGATAATCCTTTCAGGGACTTCACCTCTGGTAAATGTGACACTCAGTTTGGGGACTACCAGGGTACTTGCAGGACTGGTCAGGCTAACTGCTGTAGCATGCCACAATGACACCACATTGCAGTCTGTTTCCTACACAAACTTCTATTGAGAGCTCATGCAACCTCCTCAACAATTCAAGTAATGTGATTAATCCTTTTGCATTGCTTCCACACCTTAAAGAATTATTGGCCACCTTGAGAAGAGGTTGTTCATTATCGTGCTAGGCCAAAAAGAAAGAAATGTTGCTTCTTCAGGTTTTTTCCTGTGTGGACGTGCTGAGCAAGGACTTGCATCAGCATGCTTCACCTGAACACTACCCTACAGCTCTTTTCTCAGCTCTGGCAGTTGGGCTCTGGAGAGCTCATCTCTGGAGAAAGTGCAAAATGTAATGATGTGAAGTAACCCGCTTCTCACACCTGCCCATCCATCCAGAAAAAGTTGCTTTAAAATCCTAAAGCCCACCATCTCTTAGTGGGAGTCACCGGCTGTGACTCATCTTTGGTGATTTCTGCGTTGGGGGACATCCTACTGAGAACAGGCATGATTTCCCTGGACAGTATGACCACTTCTGCTCTGCCCCTGGGTAATCTTTATGATCTGAGCTGTAATTCAAAACGAGATTTTGTTTTCTGGATCCACTCTGATAGATTCCATCTGAATAAAGCAATGTCCAAAGCATCTGATTCTGTGAGTCCTCCCCTAAGTCAGGACACACATCCTCCAGTCATTCAGTTTAGTATTGTAGGACAGGATTTGAAAAATAGTCTAGTATTGGGTTTTTTCAAGGATGGGCTATCATCTCTGTCTGCAACTCCAGATTTTCTATGCATTTCACATGGCCTGCTCTATGTATCTCAGCAGACAACAGAGATCAGTGAAAAATTCCTCCTTGCTGAGACTCTGGATTGCCTGAGATACCTGGAGCAGGTTCATCCCTCTGAATCTGCATCCTGAACTGTAGAAACCAAGGACAGGATCCTTCAGCAAGTAAATTCCCCGTAGTCTCAGGTTTTCAAGGAGCCTTTGATTTAGAGCTGTACAGTGACAGTAAATCAAATCTGCAGGTCCTGAAAGTTTAACTATCATCAGTGTATTTACCACAGAATCAAAGTCTTCCTTCAGGAAATAATGGGATGCAAGTCTAAGCTTTCTCAGCCCATGGAAGCAAGATTAAAAACAAAAACCATTAAAATAACTAATTGTCTTTGGACCTTAGTGTACGTTCTTCTAGGACACCAGGTTGCACATTGGCTTAATGTCTAAATAGCATCAGTTTTGGGAGCTCAGGATACAGCCTGGTAATTTTCTGGCATATGATTTGGATTCATGTTTTGGTAACATCCTATGTGCTTTACAGCCTGTGTGAATTACTGTGTTAGGCTTTTCACTCCACAGTCACTCACACCTCCACCAAGACCAGAGGCCTGAATTTGGAGAATGCTTTGCTGGATTAATATTGCCAAACTTCTAACAATAGGAACATCTGGATCCAATGAGATAGTACTCAGTGCTTGGCTCAGACCCAATATTTTTTATTTTTTGGGCATTGTTAGCACTTACATCACTAGGAACCTTGCCGGGATCAGTGTGATCGTTCTGTCACATGCTGCTCAACAACATCCAGGGTTTTATTTGAATCTGATCCACATGCCTCAGCAAAGTGGTTCCATCTGTGACAACCTCCTGCCTGTGGGAGTGCTCCTGGGGTCAGGCAGTCCCTGTGCTGGAGGATGAGAACCACTGCTGATCTGAGTAGGGTGATTTCAGCTCAAGGTGTTGACCCTCCACAGGCAAATCCTCAGAATTAAGAAATATTCCTTTCCCAGTGGAATTCCTTTCCTATAGCCATCATTTTTAGTCAGATTATGAAATATGTGTAGGGTTGATAAACCTATGGACACTGTTGCTTCAATGAAAGAAGGATTCTGTTTTCAAGATCTCACTATCACTAGTACATTTTGCTAAATTTTTTTTTTTTGCTAAAAATCACTTGTATTTGACCAAGAACTTGTATCTAAAATAGATGGAATTTGTTCTCAGGACTTCCCACACTACATTTGCTGTATCTCCGTATCATATTTGCTGTTATTAGACTGCCTCTGTTTTCTTTTACCAGGCCACCACAGCAAGCAGTTGCTCTTTTCTTCTAATTTTACTCCATGGAAACCAGAAAATATCATCCCTGCAAGCTGCTTGATTTCCCTGTCATGTTTCATAATCCCAGACCATTCTGGAAGCAAGAGAAACTGCTAACATCCATGCCATCAACTTGATAGAAATGGGTGCAGCTAAGGTTTACACACCATCACACATGATGGCTTGTTCAAGACATGCAGAGAAGACACCATTCAGGAAATACACCAAACCTTTTCATTTCCATCTGTTCTTGCTGGCTCCAGACAAAGCTAGCTGGGAATGGGGTCAGGAGGCAGTAGCAGAAACTAAGTAATGGGGTCAGTGCAAATCAGAGTGGCACACTCTGTAACAGGCAGCATGGAATGGAGCTGGACAGCAACACCAGTTTTTTCCCAAAAAATATTAAAAGAAATAACTCTAGGGTGACTGCTGTGGAGATAGAAAAAGGAGACCTTGACTGCTGGAGAACATGAGCAGCTGCAGGAAGAGCTGGGACAAACAGAAAGCACAAAAGGACAGCTCCTATGGTGCTGAGGCAGAGAGGGCTTTGGGGCCATCATGGTTACCTTTTTATATCTAATTTTGAAGATTTTCCAGCAGAGGCAAAAACATGCTGCTTGCTCATGCTGTGATGGGAAGGAAGGGAACATGCTACCACCCCAGACAGAGGAGGACTGCAGGGTCTCCTCAGCCTGTGGATGGAGAGGGATCAGATGGGGATATACACCTTGGAAGATGATGCTCTGAGATGCTCAGTGCTCCCAGCCTTTCCTACCCAAAAACACAGAGCCTGGCTCACACTCCTGCTGCACATTGAGCCCTACAGGCTCCCACCAGCTCATGCAGGCAGTGGTTCCCAGGGGACCTCAAGGACCTCTCTGAACCTGTAAAAGCTGACTAGAACCAGTGCTGTGACCAAGGGAAGAGGCTTGACCTGAACCAAGGACTCACCTTGCCCGTGGATTTGACCCCTTTCCAGATGCAGAAGTAGCAGATGATCCACGCCAGCAGGAGACACAGAGCCAGCTCCCAGCGGAGACCACCCAGGTGCTGGATGCCATCAGAAATCTTTAGCACTCTCCTCCTGCATTGGGGGGAAGCAAAGAAACATGCAGGGGTCACTGATGCTGGCCACTAATATTCCCAACACCATGCTGGTTCTCACCTCCTCGGTGCCTGGTGGCTTTAGGGAGAAAAGCTGTCTTACTAACAAGGTTCAGGTCTGAGCTGTAAGCCTCAGAGAAATTAAGCAGTGCTCTTCTCTGAAAAAACACTGCCAGCCTGGCAGGTCACACATGGACACACAAAGTTCACCTACTTTTCTGACACGCTGCAATGCTCACAGTCAGGGGTACGCTGCACTTAGCATGCAGAATCCATCAGGACCCAAGAAGCAGTGCTGTCCAACCCCTTCTCCACAGCACACTTCTCTCTTTCAAGGCAGCCACATAACTGACCTCAGGACACAAAGCAGCACAGCATCCCATTCTGTGACTAAGACTCAACCATGAGCACCATAATCCGGTGAGGCCACCTAGAGCATCCTCCTGCCACCAGTGTGGAGATAAAACCCTGGGCTATGTGGACCTTGGTACAAATGAGGTCAGATAATAACAGCCTTCCTGTGTCATGTGTGTGACAAATCTTCCTCATCACTTACAAAAGTGAGGACTCATCCTCCTCTATCTCCTACACCACACACTTGAACCTGAGTGTGAAACCCCAGAAACCCAAGCCTGAGACAGGCAGAGAGGGACTTGCACTACGCTGGAGCCCAGCAACCAGCAGTGTCCACCCTGCTGCAAAAGACAGCAATTGTCCCAAAATAAAGGTGCTGCTGGAGAACCCTTGTCTAAGGCACACTGCTGCCCTCATTGCCCCACAGTCTTGCAGCAGATTGAGGGGGTGAGAGAAGGGCTGGAAAAATCACAGTGCACTCTCAGATAACACTTTGTCATCTTGCTCTTTGCCTGCTCCTAAGGATGTGGACTCTAACCAGTGCAAAGGGTGCCACTGGACTGGAACTAACTGGGTGCTGTAGTGCAGCCAGAAGAGACCTGTGCAGTGTGTGATCAGCCCACTGGCAGCTCAGAGCTCCTCAAAGAAATGCTGGCCTCCTACCCTCCCTGCCCAGGGACAGCAGGAACAGATGCTGCAGACAGTGGAAACAGAAGGAACAGAAGCAATGGACAGTGGAAATTTCCAGTCCCATGCTGCTTATTCCCCAGTAACACAGGGATGGTCACAGCAGTGGCAGAAACAACAAATTTTCCATGTTCAGCTGCAGGAAAAGCAGCCTAAGGCAGGCCACCATCTACTCACCTGTGAGCAGCAGGCAGAGGGAGAGCACAGGCTCAGGGAGTGCACAGGAGACAAAAAAAAAATTAAAACATTGAAGTTTAAAAGCAGTATCCCTGTGCTTTTTCTATTTTTGAGATAAGACCAGCACACATACAAAAGTCACTGCCCACCATGCCAGAGCCTCCTGGGAACACGCTGGTATCACACAGCAGCATGGATTCAAAGGAAAGAGGTCAGTGAGACCAAAAAGGCCAAAAGGTCTAGAGGGACATGAACACAGCATCAGAGAAGGACAAAATCGGGTGGCTCTGAGGCATGCCAGCACAGCTCCAGAGCAACACCATGAGAGCAGTGAAGTTAACCTTGACTGGCAGGGCTGCCCTGAGAGCCTTCACTCTGACCTGCTCAGCTTCCCCCTCTGTGTCCTCTTCTGGCAAGGGTGGGTTTATAGGATGTGATACTGCAGTTTGTGCCCCTTGCCCAGGGAAATGACACCTGAGAGGGAAGGGGTGCACAGGCCAGTCCTTTACTTACTCCCAGAACTCGATGACTGGGGATGTGGCATTTTCACTGGTCACATTGAAGGTTGAGTTCGCCTTCTGAAGCTCCATGCAGTTCCCTACAGGAAAGGCCCAGGGAAACAAGAACTGTAAGCAGTAGTGTCTGGAGTACCAGAGGATCTGAAAAATCCCTCCCTGTCCATCCACAGTGTTGAAAATCCCTGGCATTGATTCTGGGACAAGTTATAGTCCCAAGGATGCCCAAAAAGAAATCCCTTCCATGGAAAGGCTGGCAGGAAATCTAGGACACTTAAGAGAATAGCATTTAATTTTTCCTTCCAGTGGATACAGTCCTGATCAGCACTGGGTCTGTGGCTACCACACAGAACAGGATTAGTGAAAGAAGCCAAGAAGGAAGGGCACCCACGTCTGCTGGAGCCCAGAGCAGGAGTCACCAGGGAGGTCACCACTGCACAGCACTGGTGCTTCTCTAGCAGAGACTGAGATCATCTAAGCCTCTCCCACAAAAGTGCCAAACAGCACCACAGTGACCCAGCACCCCAAACCCACATCCCACCCACTCAGGAGCAAGACACTCTCCTGAGGCTTGGCCCTGGGCAGCAGCAGCTTTCCCTCAGTGGGATCTGCTGGAGAACAGGGAGAGGGCTCCACACCCACCTGTGTTCCACTCGTGGTCACAGCTGCCCCAGGGGAGGTCGATGGTGAACGAACTGAAGAGATAAAACAAGGCCCAGGCCAGCACAATGATGTAGTAGAAGTTGAGCAGTATGACGATGACCTGCGAGGCGTAGCCAATTCCTGCAGAAAGCGAGCCCCAAGGGCAGGTGACCCACGTGCCAGGGGACAGGAACAGCATTCCCTCTGGGAGCTGCTCAGCAGGGCCCCCAGGCACCCCTCTTCCCGCTGCCCTGCCACAGCCTTCCCTGGGGAAAGGGGGGCAATGGGAGGGACGCTGGGCAGGGAGTGGGCAGGTTATGGTTGGAGCACCACCCAAAGGGGCAGAAACATACAATGGTGTGGCACCTACTGAGTCACATCGCTTCTAACAAAATGATTTTTTAATAGTTTTCACATTTTTATTTGTGAATCTCTTTTATTAGCACTGCACACCTTCTCTGGGAGGTGTCGGAGAAGCATCTAAAGGTTTTGGCACATGAGGAGGAGGCAACTGTGACTTTCAGAGAAATCAAAGAAAGTGGCTTGAGGCTGGATAACTGATGAAACTGTGCTAGAAACAGAGGATCTGACTACTGGCAATTCATTAAGAGAGCTGGCACCTTCACCAGTGAGGTTTTACACGACCTGCAAACTCACAGAGGTGACAGAGCGTCAACTTAAAAAAGAAAAAAAGCAGCATGCTTTGCGTTCCTTATAATCACCAGAAGCATTTTCCCCATTCACCTCTGTCGTGGTTTGGCCCGGAAATGTTTTCTGGAAAGGTCTGCCCTTCATGGGGGCCCTGGCATTGTGCTAGGGCCAAACCATGACAACCTCTTAGAGGAAAACCTTGATTTGGGCACAAAGCTCCTTGCCAAAGCTGTGGCCATGAAGAAGGAAACTGGGATGCAATGTAACAGTGAGAACTGTTTGGTGAAGGTGACCCAAAGGTGACAGCCAGCGGCTCTCTCAGGAAGAGGATGTGTGGAGGTGCATAACCCAGGCTGTGACAAAACACATCTCTGCTCGTGCCCTCAGGGCCCCAGGGTGTCCCCAGCTCCCCGTGCCCTCCCAGACCCCTCCACTCACCTTCAAAGAGGGGGCAGATCCTGCGCCAGGCTGTCACCCCTCCCTGGCTCGTGTACTGCCCCAGCGCCGTCTCCAGGAAGAACAGGGGGATCCCACAGGTGAAGAGGAAGATGAGGTAGGGGATGAAGAAGGCACCTGGCAGATAGAAAAATAAGCCCCATGAGGGGACAGAGGTCAGGCTGTCTCTAGCAGTCACCAAGCAGGTTCCTCCTGTGGGACAGCCTTGGAGGGATGGTGCTTGTGGAGATTGGATGATCACAGACAGGATGCCAGGGGAAAAAAATTTTCCTCACATTTCATCTTCTGGAGTGATGTGATTACATGAATAATTCAATATGTACAAAGAATGGAGAAGAAAGTTTTGAATAGCTGTATGGAAATATAGAAGAACACTGCTGTAAAGACATTCCAACTTTTAATCAGGTTGGTGGCTCCTTTCACATTGATTATTGTGACTGAATAAGCTGACAAACCCATGGATGCCAATACCAAGGCTCTGAGGAGCACATGGAGACTGAGAATTTTGCCCAGTTTTTGGGGTTGCTCAAAGTCAAGTCATTTGCTTGGCAAAAAGCAGCAGCCATGCAAAGGAAGAGCAAGTAGTGCCTCTGAGGAGCACATGGAGACTGAGAATTTTGCCCAGTTTTTGGGGTTGCTCAGTTATTTGCTTGGCAAAAAGCAGCAGACATACAAAGAGTAAGTAGTGAAGGAAAGCATGCACCTCACAGCAGCAGCCAGGGCTGCCCTCCTGATCCAGCCCTGTCATGGAACAGGCAGGAAGAGATTAAATGCTTCAGGCTTCTCATTACCCCAGGCTAATGTTAATTGTAGTAATGGCCTTTACCCCACAGAGCACAGGAGACAGCCCCACAAGATGGTGCATGCACATCATGTGCCACTCACACATCCTGTGCCACTGGAGCTGCTCAGGCTGAGCTCCAAGGCAGGGACACAGGTCAGGAGAGAGGCAGACTCAAGCAGAGAGCAGCATCTTGGCTGGGGTGGGCTCAGAGGGCATGCAGGGTCCGAGGTGGCAACCCAGCCAGGCACTGATTGTGGTTTCCCTGCCTGGGGGATGCTGACTGGCTTTGGGCTCAGCTCAGTGGGGCTGTATGGGAAATCACAATCCTGGTGCACAAGAGAACTCAAAACCCAGGAGATTTCATTAAGAAGCTTAGCTAGCATGCAGGGGCTGGGAAAGGGAAGGGGCACTTTGGGGACTGGCTGGGATTCCCACCCTGTGCTCATCCCAGCCAGGTACAGAGCCACAGCCCCCTCTTCGTGCAAAAAAATATGAGTGAGCAAAACAGACAGGGAAGGCACCTTGGCAGCTCCCTGTGGACAAAGAGGAGCTGAAAGGGGTGCTGGATTAATGGTTTGGCTCCATGATCTTGGAGGCCTTTTCTAATCTCAGTGATTCTGTGATACCTGGCAGCCCTGCAGGAACAATGCACATCTGCCCATGTGCTGCAAACAAAAATTGGTGAAGGCAAAAGGAAATGGTTGTCGTAATGCCATCCTCTCAACTCCCAACTTGCACAAAATCATATCATCATAAAAATCCAGTCTGTTTCCAAGAAAGATTCTTGTCATATAAAAGTTTGTATTTAACTAAACTCCAGGAGAGGTCTCTGAGGCAGCAAGTCAAACTTCCCAGCCCAGTTTTCCCTTATTTGCAGCCTGGCCTGTCCCCTAACCTGTGGTTATCTCGAGTTTCAGGAAGATTTCAGGAGGGTCCTGACATGCAGGCTGTGAAATAGCACAGAATTATGATGGAGAGAAGGAAAAATTTGTAGAGATTTTCTCTGCAATCTGCCCTAATCCCTTCACATCCCAAATGAGGAGATTGGGGTGCTGAGCAGCAGACCTCAGTGAGAGCTGACTTAGAGGATGAACCCTGGGCACTGTGTGATTAACACCATCAGTGTTATTTAGCTAAAAATATATGATAAACACATTCATGCTAGCTCTGTATAACCTTGTGTAGTTATCTGCAAGAAATGTATCATTTAAGCAACTTTCCCAACTGCCATGAGCAGAAGCTTGTTTGTAGGGTATTTTAGAGGAAAACTCTCCCAGCTGAGGCCTGAGCTCTGGCCAAACCCTGGTCCCTGCTGGTTGGGTCATGTGCCATCAGATCCAGGTGTTTCTGTGCTAAAAACATTATCAAGTCACTTTGACTTACTGATTTGGGCCTAAAAATGCTGAACCCACTTTCAGGACAAATTTGGATACCTCAGCTACAGGTGGACACACCGTGCAGGGTTTTCCCAATTGCTGGGAAGGGTTCTCCAGGTTCTTGTTAGGAAACAGGGCTCCCCAGTGATTGGGGACTCCGGATGATGGTACAAGTATTCAAGCAATTGGTGATGTATCTTTCTCAATCCTATCCTTTCTTCTAGCAATGATTAGGTGCATTACCTTTGCTTGTTGCTAAAGCCAAATGTGTAGTTTTATTGAATGTATCATTTCACTTTTGTGTTGCCTTTATATTCATAGTCAAATAAGACCTTTCTTTCTGTTGGTGTCTGTGTTCTTCAAATTGCCCCCATCAACTGGCAGAGCAGGGGACACGGGTAGAAATTACTCTGTAACCATCCCCAGTGCCCTCCCCATCTCATTTTCAGCAGTGGGGAGCTGGGGAAGGGGTGCAGTGCTGGCAGCCACACCACCAGACAGGCTTCCCTGCTATTTCCCAATCAGCAGGGCCTGGCCCTGCCCCTGCAGGGGAAAGCAAGAGCAAACAAGCACACAAAGAACAATTTTTTGCTTTTCTTTGCTGTTTTTCTCTGCTATGTAGGGCTTTGGTATCATGCATTGAGCATTAAATATGTAAGGGACTACTCTTCCTTTGTTATGTGAAAATATCCCTAAAGAAAGGGTGACTGGCTCTTTAAATAACCCAGATTTTGCAGATACCTTTTCTTGAAGAGGCTCATATTTAGGCAAAGCAAGAGCTGCCAGCAGTAATCACCACTGCCTGCACACAGCTCAGGAGGGAGAGAGACTCATCCAGCAGGGCAGAGCCACCTCAGACTGATGGCAGTGCTGGCACAAGAGTTAATGGTTGCAGGCTGGCTGGGATTGACCTGGGGCTGGAAATTACATAAAGGCCCTGCACCTTTGTAGAAGAATGGGAGAAGCAAGTGCCTGGACCAGCATTTCTAAAGGAGTGTAAGGCAAAACCTCTGGGAACTTTTAAAATTCAACTTGAGGTGTTATTACAAGGGTTTTGATGCAGTGCTGTCTGCAGTAGGCTGGGTTCCATGAGGCAGGAGGGAGCCTTGTGTCCTGCACCACCTCATCACACTGCTGTGCCCCAGGAGAAACCTTACAGAAGCTCTTTCCTCACCACGCACAGTCTCATGCACCATCCTTGCCCTAATCTCATGGAAAGGGGGCTGGAGATGAAAAATCTGCCTGGGACTTCAAATTCCTCACAGCCTCTAGGGCTTCACAGGACTTTGCTTCAGGCCCATTTCTCCAGGGGAAAAAGGCTGAGAAGTCCCTTTGAGTCTTGCCTCTGCTGCTCACACGGGAGCTGCCCTCTCCCCAAAGCCCTCCCTGAGCTCTCCCCTGGCACCCAGGGCAAGGGGTGCCTGGACAGGATTCCAGGTCCTGCTCCCATCAATGGAATAGAGCCCAAGGAAAATCGCAGCAATGGGACCAGACACAGCTCAATAAGCAGCCAAGAAGCATTTCCCACAGAAAAAGAACATGCAGAAAAATTCTCCTTTTTCAACAGGGAAAAAGATCACCTGGTGAAAAGAAACAAGCACTGGAGAAAGCACATCGTGAAAGTAGCTAAACAGTGTTTAATCCTCTTTTATGCCACTGGGATGAAAGCAGTTTAGTGAGGCCCATGAGACTACTGCAGGCTCAGGCCAGGGGATTTCAGCCCCGGGTCCTCAGTGCTCACTCCCTGCCAGCTCCCAGCCAAGCACCACTTCCCCTGTCCCCTTCTGGAGAGCCCAATTAGCAACTAATCAGAGAGCAGCTCCCTCTCTCCACACGTCCCTGAGCCAAAGCTGAGAAAAACTTGGTGTTTTCATTTTTTATACTTTTCTCCTTTAAAAGGCAGCCACAAACTGTGGAAGCCTGCAGCAACCCTCCACCTGCACAGCGAGCCAAGGCACGGCACAGCCTGGCCTGGGGGTGGATGGCTGAGCACAGCCTGAGCAGCACTGGGACCCAGGGGCCAGCCCTCCAAGGACACACACAGGAGAAAAAGCTGTGTTCAATAGCTCCTGGGAGTTCTTGAGAAATCCCTGAGCTCCTCTCACAGAGCCTGCAAAGACACTGGGGTCCCGTGGCCTCTCAGACACTCCCTGCTCTCCCACCAGGACCCTTGCACAGGATGCCTGATGTGACACACAGCTCAGAAAGCTGAGCTCTGTCCCTGCCCTTCCAGCCCTCCCTCTGCATACAGCCACCCACTTCACCAGAGCTCCATTCATCTCAGGGAAACACAGCCACAGAAATCAGAAACCCTGCGACATTGCCACTGTTGTCCATGTCCCACTGGGTTCAAGACAAGCCCCTGGTGGGGTCCCAGATGGCAGTACCACGCTGGCAGGTGGGCACCTTCTCTTCAGACTGATGATTGTGCACAGCTGAGGAGCTGGGAGGGGTGATGGAGACAAGGTGCTGGGGACCAGGTGGCCCTGGCTGCTCTTACCTCCCCCGTTCTTGTAGCAGAGGTAGGGGAAGCGCCAGACATTTCCCAGGCCAATGATCTCCCCAGCCACAGACAGGACGTACTCCAGCTTGTTGTTCCACTGACCACGCTCCAGTGTCTGCTCCTCCTCCTCTTCTTCCTCCTTCTCCTTTTCCACGCCAGGGTGTGTGGGCACCATTTCACCATTGCTGACAGCGCCGGGGACTCTGTAATCCATCCCACCTTCAAAAAGAGTTTCCTTCAGTACATTCAGCACAAAGATGCAGAAATTTGGAGCCTGGGAGGCAAGAGAGGGGCAAGGACATGCACACACACATCTCCGACTGTTCTTCCCTTTCTCCTCCTACAGATTCCTGCTGGTGCTAAGACTGCACATGCATTTTCACTAATGAGTTCAAAACGAGTCCTTGAAAGCCACTATTAGTTTCATTATTTTAAACTGCCACATCTCAGAACAGTCCTGCCTCTGGAAGCCCATCCTCTTAGCCCAGTGTTACACAGAAGACCCAGGCTGGAGCTCCTGCTGTGTCAGGTGTGGGAAACATACTTAGGGCTGGAGGGGGATGACAGCAGGACAAATACTTGACAAGGTATTTTATAAGGGTCTCTCTTCTCTTCTGTTGCCTTGGCCTGGTTTTACAGACCATGTGATGGATGCCACAAAGCACACAGAAGTCCTAGACACACGAAGAGAACAAACTCAAATGATAGGAAAGCAAGTTTATCCTTTTGATGGCAGCAACTGCTGCTGACAATCTTCAAGGCTACATGAAAAGGTGATTTTCAGAATGGTGCTGTCCTTCTAACAGCAGGATAAAGCATGCAGAAATCATTGGCATCTGGGATCCTGCCTTTCTCAATGTCTGCCCTTCCAAACATCTGCCCATTTCCTGCAAAGCTCCCCACAGCACTGCTCTCAGATCCTTCGGCACCATCTCTAAGTACATCTGTGCTAAGAGAAGAGCAGCAGAGAGCAGGTGGGCACCACCTCACTGTCCCACCTTTCCCGAGGTACCTCCAAGGGGAAGGATCACGGAGGGTTGTGCCTGTTCCTCCCAGGCAGGATGCCCCGCTGGCTGCCAAGTCCTGCAGCAGAAAGGGTGAGGATTGTGGTTCTTACCAATCCCCACTGTCAAAGCTGGGGTTGCTGAGGACCTCGTGCCAAGGAGGGCAAATTCCTCGAGCTTACTCCATGCCCTGCAGAGCGTGCTCCCCCAGCCCCAGCCTGGCGCTGGCATTTATTCATCCCTGCCCGCAGCTCCCTCGCCGGGAGGGCGAGAAAAGGCACTCTCCTATCCGGGGAGAGCTGAAAAAGGGCAAACCAGCCCTTTCAGCCTCTCCCCCTGCTGAGTCCCTCCATAAAACACCTGGGGACACGAAGAGGGCTAAGAAACCCTGGCAAGCGTTTGACAGCGGCCGAAAGGAGGGACTGGGAGGACCCCGCCACGCTAGAAAATTATTAAACAGGCAGAAAAGGCTCCGTGGCCTCCCAGCCCCGGCAGGGCGAGGGGCACAGGGGGAGCAGGGCAGAAGCAGAGGGGACAGAGGTGTTACCTTGCGGGGACAGAGGTGTTACCTTGCGGACGGCGCTGTCGGGGCGCGGGCGACGCGAGAGGCGAAGGCAGGACGGAAAGGTGCCGGCTATTTAAAGTGTGGAAAGGGGAAGGAAAAAAAAAAAAAAATCCAGCGGTGGTGTAATCCTAGACTTCGCCCAACCCACATTCCTTCCCCCACCCCCCAGGGCTGGACAAAAACCTACACATGACTGATTTCATGGCCGGGGCGAAGGGGCGCGTTGCCCCCGCCTGCGAGGAGCGCTCCCGCTGCTCCGTCCCGGGCCGGCCCCGCTCTGCTCCGCCCCTGTGTCCCTCGGGAAAGGGGGGGACCATCGCTCACAGGTGCCTTTGCAGCGCTGCCCGAGGGAGCCCAGACCGCCTGGGAAGAGGTAAGAGACAGAATTCCCAGTGAATTCGCTGCTCCTTAGCGGGGAGGTGGTGGGCGCGGGGCAAGGTCCCGCATCGCAGCCTGACCCGCAGTTTCCAGGGCAGTGGCAGGCAGCAGGGCTGGAAATGAACTCGGCCAAGAGCTCTGCTGCTTCGTGCTAAGGGCCCCGAGCAGCCCCATTCAGAAATCTGGCAGGTGGCAAACTCCCTGCCCTCACGCACAGGGATCTCTGCCGCTGGTCTTTTCCAGAAGCAGCGCTGCCCCATCCCAGGACACCGCTCTGGAAGCTGCAGTGGGAACAGACAACCAAGAAGGGGATGAAAAGTTTCATAGCAAGGAGACAACCAGCCCCAGTTAGGCACACGCAGCTGTGAAATGAGCTGTGACATATCCATGGTGGATATCTTACGGCTGTGATGGTCCAAGGATGTAGGTGAGATGAAGTTTTAAAATATCCGAGGCAAGAGAGAACAGGGAAGAAAATAACAATTTTGGGGTCAGTGTCCCTGTGTGAGGTGTGTAAAGCAGCAGCAAAATGTGTACAGGCAGTCTGAGAAGGCAGAACAACGAGAAAGAGCCAGCAAGAACTGTGGTTTCACCACGTGGATCCGTGGTAAATCCACACACACCAGACCTCCTGCAGGAGAAACAGAAATGGAAGAGAGGCAGGGAGAGGTAAGGAATGAATTCAACCAAGGAGTGACCAAATATGCAACAATCCTCACTTCAGGATCAGATGCCTTGGTTGAAAAGAGGGTGACAACAAAGGTCCAGGAAAAACGAAGACAGAGAAGATGAATATGTTATGCACTACATCTCACAGTGTAACTACTAACGTCATTTGATGAAAAATTCAGATGTAAAATAAATTTAAATACTCAACAATCCTCACTTCAGGATCAGATGCCTTGGTTGAAAAGAGGGTGACAACAAAGGTCCAGGAAAAAGGAAGACAGAGAAGATGAATATGTTATGCACTACATCTCACAGTGTAACAACTAATGTCCTTTGACGACATTGAAAATTTAAATACCTTTTCCTCCCATTGAGCATAATTAATTAAACATGGTACCTGTGGCCATTACCACAGAATATTGTTTGGAAAGGAAAGGAAACTGGCAAATCCACCCAGAGCTGCTCCTCTTCCACAGCAACTAAACACGGTGGTCCAAATAAAACATCTCCACTCCGCAAATCAGTGATTCTTGAAAACCAGGGAAGATGGTTTTCCCATAATTCCTCTTCCAGAAGAGAAATTATGCAATATGGTGAGAACCAGAAAACATCCCATTTTGTGCAGAAACCGTCTCACAGTGATTAGTGCAGCTGTTAAATACTGTAAGAATGCAGAGATTAAAAACAACAGTGAAGACAAATAATATCTTGCCTCGTGCAACAGATTGGTGTGAGGAGAGAGGAGATTAAGGAAATATTTCCATAGATTTTCAAACTATATTTTCAATTTCAAACGATTGCATTCGTCAGCAGCACTGCATGAATACCCCTCAGTAAGCACAATTACTGCAGCATTCAGATAGCAATAATCCTATCAACAAGACAACAAGTTAATTGGCAGGAGCTAATAGACTATGAGAGGAAAATGTGCAATCAATTACAGACTATTTGACTTGCACCCCATGTGATAAGACCACGCTGAATGCAACAATAACCCGAAAATGAAAACAAATGTTCAGTGTAAACATAAGCAGCGAGGGGGGATATTAAATCTACAAGTGCAAAAGCAAGCTGGAAAATCCTGAGCAAAGCATGTTTAAAGGAAAGCATCACTTTATACATATTCTGGAGTGAACTAAGAAAAAATTTATGTTGTTCTGGGAGATGTTACTTGAAATATTGATATATTTTTAGAAATTTTTTTACAGAAAATAGAGGGAACAAAACTGCCACAAAGGAACAGTTAAGACTACAGAAAATAAAATATTTTCAATACATATTTTTGAAATGGTAGAGGGCAAAGAAACTGAGAGGGACTTCAATCGACCCATTAAAGGCAATGAAAAATTTAAAGGGAAAACTACTAAGAGTGAAATCTCAGTGTCTAAGGATTTGAGTGTAATTGTATCTAAGGCAAGGGGAAGAATAGGGACAGTCAGAAACAAAGCTTTACCAAGCAGGTTTGCAAGAAACAAATAAGAGAAATGGAAAAATGTGGATCTTTAAAAAATATATTAAAAAGGAACAAACCTAGGTAATATGCATGCTGTAGTAACAGGAAAACAACTTGATCCAGAGCTCTACCACAGCAACACCATTCAAAATTATTTGGGTAGATACACACACATATACGAATGAGGAGAAGACCAGGTAAGAGCTTTAGAAGCAGTGTGTGCCACCTGGAATGACTCAAGCTGCACCTCCCAGTGCCACAAGTGCTGGCACCTGCCCCACAAGCACCACTCTCCTGCCAACCCCCAGGATGGCACAAGGTGGTCCTTTCAGTGGCATCCCCTGAAAAGGGTGTGAAATGAGAGGCTGCCTAGTCAGGAACATCCTCTGAGCCAGAGCAGCCACAGCGCTCCCAGCCCCATCCCAGAGCGGCCACACTGCTCCAGCCCCATCCCAGGCAGCCTGGCTGTCACCCATCGTTTAGTGGGACAGTCCCTGCTGGAGCTCCAGAGCCTCCAGAGCAGTCCTGCAGCAGCCTCCAGATCCAGGCAGGCTGCCAAGCACTGAGCAGCTGTACCAGATGTGCAGCTGGGGCACAGCTGGCTTAGACACTTCTCCCCAACACCCATTTTGGAGAAGAGCAAGAGCTGTGCACCAAGGGGGGTCACTGTCAGTGCTGGAACATCTTAAAGGCTATTAATTCATGCTGTGTTTTGCTCCTGCACTTCTCCCCAACACCCATTTTGGAGAAGAGCAAGAGCTGTGCACCAAGGGGGGGTCACTGTCAGTGCTGGAACATCCTAAAGGCTATTGATTCATGCTGTGTTTTGCTCCTGTCTTTCTCTTTACCTTAGGACATTTGCCAAGATTTCTGCCTTCAGCTTGATCCCAGTCTTCCACCAGCAGCTGTGGCTGTGCTAGCAGGGAAGAGCTTACAGCCCAAAGAAAGCAAATGTGGAACAAAAGCCTCCAGAGATAATATGGTCCTTTGACTTTGTGTGGGACAGATGTGCACAAGAACTGGCCCCAGCCCACCCCAGGACTGCTGATACTTCATGCTCTGGTAACAGCTACAGAACCTACTCCCAGGTCTGGTCTTGCTTCACATCAATGTCCAGCTGAGCAGGGAATAAGTGTTGGATTTCTCTCCTCCAAAGCACCAAGCCACCTCCAGCCACCTGGGAAGATAGTTCAAACCTAAAAAAGAGGAAGGATACAAAAGGCACCTACTTAGAGGAATGAGGAGGAGAGAGAAATGTTTACAGGGAGACAAGCACAACCTCTTGTGTTGTATCCCCTTTTAAATCTACTTTAAAATTAATTATGGCCCAAACCACCAAAGTCTTTTCAGGAGAATGGCCTGGGCACTACTGCTGCTGCGTTCCCAACACGAAAAACCATCAGCCACATCTGGCCTTTGCTGAGCACTGAGAGCAACTGTGCCCCCCTCTGCTCCTGTGTCACTCAGGACAAACTGCCTCCACGTGTGTTGGGGCAATGCAATCTTGTGATCCACCTCTCAGGAACACAATTTGCCATTTTATCATCTGGGAACCAAAGGCCAGAGCAAATACGATGCATTTCCTCCATCTGACAACCACCCTGCTGCTGGCCTGAAAATGTTTAGCTAAAAGCAGCCAAGGCTGTAGTGAGCAAAATTGTCACAAATATGCACAGAAAGGGGATAAATAGAGGCTGGCACTGGCTGGCACATTACAGGAACCTGGAGACTGCTCAGCAGAGAAAGAAGCCAAGGTAAGCACAAGGATTGACTCCTGCTTGAGCCACTGAATTCCATCCCAGAAAGGCAACAGATTTTGAAACTACAGTAGCAGAAGCAAAAATCCAAAACCTGCAGTTCCTGCAGGACAGATCCTGCAGCAGGCTCTCAAACAACCTCCTTCAGAGACAGCCTCCCTAGTGAATAACTGCTTCCAAATCAACTCCATGAGGTACCACCAGTTCTCAGGTCTTTTTTCTATTCCCACTTTACCAGCAACCTGAACAAACCCTCGCAGGGTAACTGTGGGAATAGAGCCTGAACACATTTTAGGGAGAGGGCAGAAGTTGCTGCTCTTCCAAAATCTAGTCATGGGCCTCCTGATGTGAAAGTTGATAGTTGCATCAAGAAATTAAAACTCACCAGTTTGAAGGTGCAGTCAAGAAAACAAGTGGAGGACATTTTCACATCAAGAACCGTTTACCAAAGGAAATCCTAATTGCAGCAGTGCTGTGAGAGGCATAGGATGAGCAGATTGATTAGGTGCAGGGTAAACTGAGGGATGGAAAGGGAGCTGTATATTGGGACCACTTGTGGTCTTTCCTTATGTTCTGCACATCCCACTCCTTTGAGGCAAGTCTGGAAGCACCTGCCTGCAGGAAGAATGACATCAAAGCCTTTGACAGGGCAGGGATTTGCATGTCCCTGCATCCTTTCTGTCTGCAAGGGAAATGTTCTGGCAGGAAAAAGGGAAAACTTTTCTCAGGGGTTAGACAGGGCTGTGCTTAACTGATTCCTGAGAGAAAGCCCATAATCTGCTTTTAAACAAGCAAGATTTGGGCAGTGACCTCAGAGCATCTGTTCATACTTGAACACTCTAAAAGAAAAAAAAAAAAGACTTCGTAATTCATGGCTACTGGGCTGGTAACAACTCAGAACACAAAGTTTCCATTCAGGGAGGAATCCAATACTCATTGGTTGACAGAGTGAGAGGTCTTAAGAAATTTCTCAAGAAACAGGTTTTCTATGCGAAAGTCGACAAAGTGAAAACTTGGGCATTCAAAAAATGGTCAAAAAAGAAATAAAATTGAAGTTCAGTATTTCCAGCTTCCAAAAATCAGAGCTGTGGCAGTGGAGCAGGGAATGGGTGCCCAGGCACGAGGCACAGAGGGTTTAGCAGAGGCACAAGGATTTGGTCTGCTTGGGCTGACTCTACACCCACACTAAAAGAGAAGGTGGCTTGAGAGCCCTTTTGGGGGACCAAAAGGGCAGCTGCTGCTGCTCAGGAGCTTCACTCTTTGCCATTTTTGACTATCAAACTCCAAGCCACGGCACCCTTTTGCCACCATGAATTCAAACAGTGATGCTCAGGGGGCTGACCAGATCCAGAGGGCACATGGAGAAATACACCCAAACACAAGTATTTCCACCATGGACATCCATTACTTCCCTCCAGCCAGAGAGGCTCACAGCATCACAGCTCTTTGTGACAAGGACACTTCATTCCTGGTCTCTGAAAGCCAACACAGAGGGTCAGGCACTGCTTGCCAATCATCTGACAAATGTTGGGAATGTGGTTTCAAACACAGAGCTTTCATGGTGATCAGGGAAGGAAATAAGAAAAAAAAAGAAGACATGGTGATGTGTTCAAATGGGAGAATTAATTGAAAACATGTGGAGCCAGTGGAAGTTTTAGTTTTGGTTTTCACCATAACTGGAATGTAGAGGAAAAAGGAGATTGGTCTTTGATACTCTGATTTACCTTGAGGTTCCTACTACAAGGTTTGAACTGCACACCCCCTAGGGCTAGAACAGAAGCTGTGGATTCACACAACAAACCAGGAAACAGCAGCTGTATTGCTGCCCAGGTCTGGTCCTGGTGATGCCAGTGGACAGTCTGCAGTCACACAGCTCCTGTGCAGGGAGCCAGGCAGCCCTAAGAGGGTGAGAAGTGAGACCTCCCCTGCTGCAAAGGAAAAACAGCTTGGGAGGAGCAAAACAAAATCTGCAAAGGGAGTTTGTGCTGATTTCTTTTGGCCTCACTTTCCTGAGAACAGGGACAGCCCAAGGTGTAATGGAAAGGCCCTGGGGGATGAAAGCAAAAAGCACAAGAAACAATCATTTTCCTGTGAGATCACCAGAGCTGAGAAACAGGGACATGGAGCAGCTGCTGCTTCGGGCAAAGCAGAGTGAGCTCCTTTCTTCAGAAATCTCAGGTGTTGCTTGTCCAGCAGCAGGCTCTGCACACTCTGTAAACAGGAGTTACACAAAAGTCGTGCCCACTTTCTGCTCCAAACAGGAGCTGACCCATCATCTTCCTAGAATCACATTACTCAGCAAGAAAAAAAATCCTGTAAATTATGAACTTTTCCTGTAGCTGTGCACTCTTCCATTATTTATTTGTTCAGCTTGTGTACTCTCTAAGTGCCCTAAATCCCAGAGTCTGACCATTCCAAGACTATTTGCAGCAGAAGCCAGAGGAAACCAGTGCCGTGGTAGGTGGTAAGGCCCAGAAAGTGAGGAAGTGGGCTGTGCTCAAACCTTACCAGTGAGATACAAACCTGGAAAGGGGTTACACGTGTCCAGCCTCCCCTTCTGGCAGCAGGTGAGAGCAGCAGCACCATCCCACTCATCTGGGGCTGGTCCTTCAGCATCAGCAGGGTGCTGCCAGTGACTCCACTTCTCCACCAGGCGTTCTCAGCAGCCAGTCTCTCCCAGGAATGTTTCTAGGCAAAGCTAAAGCACCTACCTCCTGCCTAAGAAACTACCAGGAAAGGAATTAATGGGATGTAGCACTACCAATCTCTGACAATGTCCAGATTAACTACATTTCCAGCTGTATGAAGTGAAAAGCTACACCATTAGCTGACAGAAGTAAACACTGTGGCACTCATTCCACATCCCACTAAAGCCTCAGCTGTTTCTCAAATTCACAGCATGGACTTGTGTGGCTGCACTGCTCCTGTCACGGCACAACAGCACCAAGCTCCTCCTTTCCCTGGGGAGTGAGAGCCTCACCCTTTGCTGGGGGCTGAGCCAAAGGATGCAGCCCTTCCCTCTGCTGGCCTGTCACCCACCCGTGAAGAGCAGATGCCAGGCTGGCCAGAGACACCAACCATCATCCCAGCACTTGTGTGCAGAGGTGGCTGCTCTCCTGGGACACAAACACCCACAGCAGCTCCCTCTGGCACTTGGCTTTAAATGCCTTTTTGGGGAGAGTGTGGGGGTGATACACAGACTCCAAAAAGTGACCTCTGAAAAGCCACCAACACCCCACCTCAGATTAAAACTGCTCACTGCAGCAGAGGTTTGGTTTCAAAGCCATTCAGAGCACAGCTCCTTACAAATATTTTTCAATAAATCCTTGCTACTTTCATTTCCTTTACCTACAACTTAACACTCACTTGTGCCGAGCCACACCATTACCCAAAGCTCAGTGCTCTCCGTGTCCTGCTGTGCTGTTTCCAGCTGCCCCACACATTTATCACCCTCCCAGTTTCCAGCTGCCCCACACATTTATCACCCTCCCAAAGCCAGCACGGCTGCAATGCTGATAAGGGCTGGGCTTGTGGCACCTCCCCACTGCCTTGACCAAACACAGTGAGCACAGCTGGAGAGGGTGTGAAGGAGTTCCCTGCTTTTCCTTTGCATCTAACTGGAGTAAGCCTCAAATGTTGCTTTTAGCAGACCACAGCACTCGACTTCTTACAGCAATTGTAACAGTCATTTCAGGAGTGATATTAAGAAATTTTTTCCACCCCTAGGAAAACATCTGAACCCTAGGAAAAACAGGAAGATCACTTCCTTGACAGACTGTGATGAACCCTCTGTGCATCGTGCTCATTCAATGAAGAGGAGAAAGGTGATGGAACCAATCCTCCTCAAACCAACATCCACACCCATGAGGGATAATGTGACTGGTAACACTCACCACTATAATCCTGGCCCAATCTGGCTGCCTTCTGTGATGAACTCCATGGACAAGGGGGAGCAGTGGGTGTTTACCCTGACCTACAGCAAAAACACTTAGGGGGAGTGGATGGATAGCCTACAATGGCAGCAAAAAATAGGGTGGACAGCAATACTTCAGCAGTCATCAGCAGTCCCAAATTTAAAATTTTGGAGATAGCTGCAAGTGCAGTACCTCAGGTGTTTTTTCTCACCCACCTGGGTAGTGGTACAGAGCACACTCAGATGACATCAAACAATGCTGGCAGAGGACTGGAGCAGCAGAGCCCAAAACACAGGAGGAGGGAACTCCATTCAGCTGGATCTTTCCTGGCTGAAGTGATGTGCTGATGGAAAGTTTAAGCCCTTATCTGACAAATTGTAAAGCAGAAGACCTGGGGCTAAGAGTAGCCAGAATGAAAAGGAGCCAGCAGTACCTGCAGCTATACAGGGCAGCCCTGCAGGAGGCTGCACAGCAAAAGTGTGAGCAGCAGCTTAAAGGAAGTCATTTCCCCCCTGTATTCAGGATTTTAAGCTGTACCTAGAGTAACACATCCAGTTTGGGCTCCTCAGCACACTGAGTACCTGCAACAAGGACCACCAAGACTGTCAGAAGGCTGCAGCTCATGCCATGCCTGAGCTGAATTTGTTCAGCCTGGAAACCAAGGCTGCAGGACCTGCAGTCTCCAACTAGCTAATCAGAGAAAATACAGAGCCAGACTCTGGCAACAGGCACGTTTCAGCAAGTGAATTTTGCACTGAAGATGCTACAAAACCAAATGGGAAATCAGAGAAGCCGTTGAATGCTCATCCCTGGAAAAAAATCATAATTTTATTGGACACAACCCTGAAAAATTTCACCTACTTTTAAAGTTGTCACTGCTCTGGTCAGGAGGTTGACCCAGATGACCTCCAGAAGTACCCTCCAACCTAAATTACTCTCTGATTCTAAAAACTGAAAAGATCAATGCAAATTTCACAGTGTGGCTGATATAACAGCCTGTTACCTTATGCCATGTGACTGTGTTCCATCCCTTCAGACAATTCCCATCATATCAACAATATTAAGTTGCTGAAGACTCTTAAGTCTTCATTACCAATGGTCCAGGCTGCACCAGCATTCAGCTCCAGATCCGTCAAAAGCATAAATCCCAAAGGCAATGGTACTGAAGGTCAGCAGTGACATTTATCTCTCTGCAAGCAAAGCTGCCAAATCCCAGGCCCTGTTTTTTACAACAAAAACCTGAAAGCACATAGTTTGTACAAGCTATACAACTCAAGCCCTGGCCATTTTCAGCTCCTCACAACAGCTCAGGTAATTTCTTTGACCTTTTGTGTCAGACACATGAAAAGAAATTACAGCAGCAGTGGCAAGTAGCCTTTGTAGACTACAGCATTAAGACATTCACCTTTCTAGATACACAAGCTAATATTTTTTGTGTACTGAGATTTTGTCCCCAAAGCATGAGAGAGTTTTCCCACAGCTGTAGCAGACCTGTAAGAACATTTTTATCTTGGCTTTGGCTGGTTTCTCTGCGTATGCTTTTACAAAAATTCAAACCCCTAGGATCTGGAGACAACACCACAGCTGTAGCTTCAGGTTTTTCAACCACTAAACTGCAGGTTTTTCCAAAAGTTAACATTTATTCATAAGTTCATACTATCAGCAATCCTTTGATAGGAATTACGCTCTTAAAAAACAAGCTTAAAACAATAAGATGTAAAGCTAATAATGGTCTTCAGTTCATGAACACCTTATCCAAAAGCAGACGAGACATCTGTGACCAGAAAAAAAGTGTGGCAACCTCCTTCCAACAGTGGAACAGAGGCTCTCCACGTGGCTACATGAAAAACAGCTACTAAAAACGTGACTTTTGCATATGATTTGCACATTTCTTTCTGTTGTTTGCTCTTTCCTGTGCTTGTTACAAGCAGAATGACCACAGTTGCATTGTAGAGCTGTTTGTTTCCATCTTGCTGTAACTAGTGCTTCTGTCAACACTCTCCACCACACCTTCTACACAGAGAAACAGGAACATGCAATGCAGGTTTACTCCAAGATCTCTTTTCCAGTTGATGGTAATTACATACAAGGACTTCATCACAACAGAGAATGCAGGAATGGTCACGAGGATATGCTCAGTGGCTAACAGGAGGTGCTAACCGTATTTCCCCTGTTGTGTCACAAATTCTAGGAGTCAGGAAAGAATACAGAACACTGGGATTCTTTAAGAAATCTTGTACTAGTCTACTTCTGGAACGATTAAACATCTGTGACAGATAGTTTATCCACTCCATATAGGGAAACATTTATGTAGTACCGTCAGTTAAAGCTTGAAGGAAAAGTAACAACTGTTTAAATCAGTTTACCAAAACTAAATGTACATTGAGAAGAAAAAAAAAGTAATTGGAGGCAAAAAGAGGGTATGTCTATCTAAAGCATAGACTCCTTCATAAATAAGTAAACAAATAATACTCTTAAATTTGCCAGGGTGCCCGTTCAGCCACATGCTTAACCACAGCTTGCTTTTGACATCACATTAAGTCTTTAAGGAGCAGGAATTAGAAGTCTGTGTCCAATTTGCACTCAAAGCTCCCAAGACTCTGGATCTTCTGTGCTCCATCTTATTTCTTTTCCTTTTGCACACTTCCCTCTTCCCAGGTAGCAGGCACACATAGAAGAAAACAAAAAAGTTCCGTCTACCTGAGCTGAGTTGGTTTTTTTTTTGGATGGATAATTCTGCCAAATAAATAAACTTCCAAATATCAGAGAACAAGAGAAGGGACACAGAACAGTAAAGACAGCACACCTTTGTTTTTGTCAATATTTTTTTAAATCCCAATCTAGCTCCTAGTAAGACTGGACACTACTTACAACACTCCTAGAACTGCAGAAGAATGGAAACAAGAGGGAGCGAGTGGAGAGGGGGACAGGACAGCCCAGGGGCTGACTTCAGACATTCACATACACAAGGCCAGCATCCACTGGAGTCATTAAGGCCCAGATGCCCCACTAGCAGGAACAAACCCAAATACAAAGGTAGCACATGAAATGTATTTACCTATTTAAACACAGGCAGCTGGTCAAGCTAGAATGGGGAAGGTAACTGCTAATTCCTTGTACTACAAGGAAGGAATGGAGTAAAAAAACCCAAGCCCACGGGCAGGTTTTTGCTTTGTGAACCTCTGTCTGTGCTGCTGGTTAACAGTGGTAAGTATAAAAAAATCAAAGAAAAATAATCTATTTATAGAACAAGTCAGTAGTCTGAGACATTTAGAAAAAAGTAAAAACAAGTCCTTCTTTAAAAATGGATTTACTAAAACAACTGTCACCCAGGATGACCCCAAGCCCTCTGGTCCTCCGGCAAAGCCAGGGGCAACTTCAGACAAGAACTGTTGCTGATTGTACACTGGTACACAGCCAGCAAAGCCAGCAGGGAGGGGCTTGCACTGTGAACAGGATCTGCAGACTGCTTGCTGGTATCACAGGAGGCCATGCCTGTAGCCTGGTGATACTGGAAAGTTGTGAGTGGAACTTTTCACAGAAGCACGTGTCAGTGTAACCTCTGAGGTAAGTGGGCTGTCTTCTTTCCTTCCCATCCCTGGGCACAGATCTCAGAAGCTGTGCCCTGGGTGCTGTACCTCCTTGCCAGCTCCATCCTGCCCCACACAGCTTTAATGTGCAGGAGTGCAGAACTCTAAGCAAAGCCTAGAACAGGAGAGAGCATCCCTGTGGAAAGGGAAGCACTCTGCTCTTCCCAAGTTCTGGTCTAGCTAGAATTATCAATGATTTCTGGCCCTCCTCAGGACAGGAAGATCAGTTGTTTCCCACTGAGGAAAAAAATTTGCCTAGTGGAGTAGAGTTGGGTTTCTTTTTTGGTAAACAGAACTTTGCTGATTTTTGCCATTATGAGCTCCTCTGCCCTTTAGCTACAAAAGAGAAATTAAAAGAAATTCATCCACTTGCTCCCACCCTTAGCGTAGTGTTAGCTGCCTGGATATGGAGGCAATTTCATTCTCCCAAGACATTGCTCTACACACTGGATTGGCATGGAGAGGCAAAAGACTTCCAAAGTCACCTCCTCAGGATAACCAGGTAGGTCTAAGAGCTCCAGCCTATGCCCACCAGCTCCAGGCCAGCTCCACTGCCAACATGTACTTCTAACACCCTGAAGTGTCTGACAGCCTCGAGTTTGCTCGGTCCTTGAGAGCAACAGGCACGCTCAGAGATGGAAACACTCAAGTCAGAAAGCACTGGCTGGAGCCCCTCATCAGGCAGAGCTGGTGCCTCTGTGCCTGCCATTCCTGCTGCAGGAAGGGACCAGCTGTGCTGCACATCTGTACATCCTTGGAAGGGAAGCTCAGGAGCTACATCAGCCTCGAACCCCTCTGCTTCCGAAGGGCTCCAGTGGTCCATTTCCCAACAAGTTCTGGGCACGGAGCAGTTGCTAACTTGTCTCCTTGAGATCTTCCATTGGTAGTTTGTAGCTCAGCAAGAAGGGAGGAGGCGAGGCGTGGGCAGGGCTGCTGGGGCCCTGCAGGGGTTTCTTTGCACAGTTTATGCAGATGTAATCCTCATTCTCAGCCATCTCTGGGGAGACCCCAACACACACCTGATGGAACCACTCATCGCAGCCCCCGTCACACTGCACCCAGTCCACCTGCAAGAGAGCACATCAGCACAGCCTGTTACAAGGGAGGACACACAGGCACAGCTTCTATGAAGAAAATACCTTCTGCTAAACCTACCAAGAATATAAAAGCTCTGGGGCAAAAAATAATACCCCTATAGAGCTTGTTTAACAAGCTACTTCAGTTTAATGGAAACTAACTCTTCCAACAAACCTTGCCACAACACAAGAACACACCACTACTCCTGAGGAAGAGGACAGCTCTCCTCAGATGAAAGGAGGTGTGCTAAAACACATTTAAAATGCTCAGGGATGGTTACTTCAACACAGGTGAGAGTCTCCAAACACACCCTCTTAGACTGCATTATCAAACAGCAGCTTTTGTAAATGTAAGTCCTAAGTGTCAGAACATTTAAGCTACAATACAAACTTTGAGCTGAACCTGCTGTAGAACAATATGGAAAAGACAAAAAATGAGTTAGAATGTAGGAAGGAAAAAGGATTACTGATTTGATTTCTGTAATTCTTTGAAAAAAGTACATGTTAACTGGAGTCAGTGGGCAGAAACTACAATTGGAAGGGCAAGAAACACAGATTCTCCATTTTAATGGCATCCACTTCTACAGCTGTAAAAACTGTTACTGCTGTAGTTCTGCTTTCCACTTACAGGGGAATGTAAAACTGTATCAGAAAAACAATAGTAGTGGCAACCTATTTAAAATGAAGAAACATCATCATCATACAGATGTTACTTCAGTTTGTAGCCAACTACTCCTGAACAAATTTTCCTAAGTGATTAGTAAAGGACATCAACAGCTGCAGCTTCAGTCACGACATTCCTGTATCTGCCATTTTTTGACAAGTATGGCATTCACCTGTTGAAAGTACAAAAGTACAGAAAAAAAAAAACATTTTAAAGCATTTTTGATCATCAGTCTGTGTTAAAAGCTGACAATCATGACAGGCAGTGCCACAGAGAGAGGTAGATCAAGTTTCTTTTGTAATAATCCCATCAGGTCTAAAATAACTGATTATTTATCTCCAACAAGCAAAGTGAGCCACTGAAGTTTGTAGATCACTCAGCCTGCAACATCACTGTTCAGAGTGTATGCAAGAAATACAGAACATCTATTTCATTTAGGAACATCACACATCCCACTCATGCTCAGGAACATTTCTTTCTGAATCAAAGAATTCATCCTTTGAATCAGCCAATGCACGTTGCACACAGCCAACAGAAAATTCCACAGCTTGAAGAAGCTGAACTTCCCAACCAAAACAGAGTACCCTTTCCCAGATTCTAATTTCCCATCTTCTCTTTTGAAGAGAAGTACCTTCAAAAGAGGTACTTTTTTGAGTAAAAGAATAAGACTCAAAATTTCAAAAGAGGTACTTTTTTGAGTAAAAGACTCAAAATTCTCTTTTTTTGAGTCTTCAAAAAGAAGACTCCTGAGTCTTCAAAAAACTGTAGGATTTTCTTATTCTCTTAATTATTAAGGGAGTAATGAAGCCCTATAGTTTAACCTGCTAAATCCCAAGTACTACTCAACTGTCTCTCATTTCTAACCACACCACTTTGGTTTCTCACGCTGCTCAACTTAAATATTACCTGGCACAGGGGCTCTGACTTGGCATGTGACAGAACTAAGGGGCAACTCACTTTGTCCTTGCAGGGCCTTTGGCAGTTCTGAGCAGCACACACAGCATTCTCATCATCTGACTCTTCTGCTCCTGACCAGTCGTACTTGGAAGGAATATCCAGAACCTTCTTCTCTCTTTTTTTCTCTGTGCTCTCCTTTGCCAGCTCTACCTTTGCCACAACTGCCTTCTCTCGCTTCTTCTTCCGCT